AGAAGCTAGACTAAGCAAAGTCTTATCAATACTTTTTGCTTTTCAAATGTCACATGTTGGAGTTTTTACTTTTAAAATAAAAGTATGAAAAAATGACTTTTCCTGGTACTCCTGGACTTTCCTAGGCTTCAATTAGCTAACAGAGGACTGCTTTTGTTTCTGTTAACGGAGTGGATGTCTGGCTTTGGCAAGGGCTTCAGTCTCAACTTCCATTTTGTATTTAGAACAAACAATCCGCTAGAAAAACTGAAGGAGGGTGATTTATGATAGTAATAATAGTGTTAATAACATCTCCTTAGCCTTCATCTGGTTCCTAACTGAAAGTAATTAAGGTGCTATGATTATATAAATAATTAAGAATGATATAATTAATTTTATATCATTGTTGAATAATGTTTCCACTCTGTGGGAGGAAACTACTATTCTGGTTAGGCTGATGTTGGATTGCTTGCAATGAAAATGTTGGAATCCAAGAAATATAACAAGGGCAAGAAAGGAGACAAATAACATAATGGTTATTTTCATTTGTCTCTAAAGAAGTCTCAAAAACCATGTAAATATTTTATGTTTTCATAAAAACACATGTTTTATATTGCCCATAAAAACATAACTTTAAAACAAATAAGTTCAACTTGCTTGCATTAGAAAAGTTCATTTTAATTAGGCTAGTTACATACCTTGTAACAATACCAGTGTCAAATCATGACAGTGTTGCATGAACCATAACTCACACATCTGAGAAATGTTGCCTTTCCTAATGGAAATGGAATAAAATCTGGTTCCTTTACTGTAAGTTGAGCAGCATGTTGGATGAACAATGTTGTGTGCTCGTCTCTAGAGAATTTAGTGTAAAACAGCTCCAGATTTTGTTTGGTGATCTCAGAGCTGGCTGAATAACTCCGGCCTTCCACAGCTCCAAATGCTGACATGCAGGGAGATGAGACTTTCAGATATTAAAAGCCTGCTCTGTGATACTGAAGGAGATTAGTTTTTGGAATCCATTCATTGACACAAAGACTGATGCTGAATGGAGGTTATATTTACTGTCTATGAAACCCCTGAGTTAGCTGAAATCACTCTAAGCGTGTACACGCACACATGTATTCTCTCACATTTAGCCAACTCCCCATGATGCTGGTTTCTTTGAGCCAGGAACAGACAACTTTCAGGGACTTGGCTTGAAAAGATGCATGCATGCAACACCCTCTGTCACATTGTACAAGAGGCTACAAGCAAGCAGTCTTTATATTTGGATTGTCTAGACTGTGACAAAGTGGGAAAGGGCAAGTGAAAGAAAAAGCCCTTTTTGTCAGTCATTCACTTTGCATCAAATTATCCTCTGCACTGCCACTGCCAGCAAAAAGATAAAGGGAGCAAAAACCAAACAAAAATCAAGAAACTGACAATTCTCTGGTTTTCTATCCATATCATTCTTAGTAAAAATAAAACCCCAAACCACTGTTTTTCTGAAAATCCCAGGACATATGTATGCCATCTCCTGGTTTTGGGGTGGGTTTTTTTTTAAGAATTAGTATTTTGAACAATTTTATTTTTGTGGCTGATTTGTAGTTTTAACTTTTTCCTCATCAGTTTTCCTCCTGGTCATGTGTAAATGAAGTGTGTAGTGCTGTCTTGTCAGTACTTGTAACTTGGTATGGAAATCTTCACAGATTTCAGTGGAGGTTTTTTGGTTTTTTCCCGGCTCAGCTGAGAGTTTGTGAATAAGCAATAAGAAAACCCCTTTCCCCGCCACCGTTCTCCCAGATTTCATTATTTCCATCTCTTTTGTTCTTTCATTCTTTCATTTTCTTTTCTGCTTTTTCCTACAAAAATACTTGGGAAAAAATAAGCAGAGAAACAGAGCTGGGAAGGGAAAGGGAGGAGGCGATAGTTTCACAAGGAGGTAAGGTTGCAGGCCAGCAAAAAGGCTGCTGAGATTCTTCTTTAAATAGCAAAGCCTGCATATCACTTAACTGTTTTGAAGTGAGTAAATGTATGTTCCAGCACTTACACCTTTTTTTAACCATTCTACTGTAATGGCTCACTCCTCCCTGTACGGAGGGTCGGTGTCTCTCTCTGCCCATTCCCCCTAGCTGGGATTTCCCTCGCAGCATCACCGCAAACAGTCTTTGCTCGCTGCCCGTATTTTCCTCTCTGCACACTGAAGGCAGGCTTTCACAGAGCCATAGCAGGGTCCAAGCAGCAAGTCCCAGACTCGTCCCTCTGCCCATCCTGATAGCAGTGAGATAAGCCATCACCCCACAGGGCCCTCACCCTCCCTGTGGTCCTCCTTCACTCCCTGGTATTGCCCATGGGGCTCCTTGGCTCTGAGAGGAGCTGGGAAGACCTCACCCCTGAGGAACATCTCCAAACAGAGGGGCTCTATAGCCAGACATTGGAAACAGGTAAAAGCTGTGTGACCCATAACTCACACATTTGAGAAATGCTGCCTTTCCTAATGGAAATGAAATAAAATCTTGGTCTGCTGTTGAAATAGGTAAAAGCAGCAGAGAGATCTGCACAAGCAGTATTTCACAGCTGATGCAAAGCTGGCCAGGGCACCTCTGCACCCACGCAGTCCTTGTGGGCTGGAGTCACTGCTGATCCAGGGACTGGACAACCTTGAGCCCCAGCACAATACCCTGCACCTCCAGCACCAACCCAGCTACCAGGGCGAGCAGAGGCTGGAGGTTGGTGTGGCTGCAGCAGCAGCAGCGTGTTCTGCAGCCTCCAGGCTGCTGGCTGCTGCAAACCTGTTCCCGCAGCCTGTTGACAGTTTAGCTTCTTGAGGGATCCCAGCTCATGCCACCCATTGCAGCAAGTGCAGGGGCAGGACTCCTTATTTCTGCTCATCTCTTTCCATTTGTGTGAAGACACAAGTTTTAGTGAGGGACCTCTGCTGAGTGTTTGTGGTGTCTTGAAGGAAATAGAGAAATGCAAAAAGGGCACCTTTAGGTTAAGCTGAGAGTAAGAGACAGTAGACCTGTGCTAACTGCAGGCAATATGGCTCAGGGAAATACCTTAAAATGGTGGTTGTTTTTCTGAACAGGCTTGTAGAATAACTGGAAGTATCTTCCAATTGTAGAAAACACCCTTCAACAGAAGGTGGTTTTTTAATTAGGCAAGTTAGATTTAAGAAGCAAGTATCCAGACTGTGGACTGTCACAGACAAGCAGGGAGCTGCTGCATAATTTTTCAAGCATTAGCAGTGGAAGAATATGCTTTTTCTGAATCCCATGAGTTTGTCAAAACCAATTTCCTGTGTTGATGTTAGGGTAAGGCATACAAAATAGCCAGCCTGGCAGCTTCAGAAAAATGAGGATATTTCAAAAAGGATTGGCTTTTTATTTACCCTAAATGACAGATATTGGCTGAAATATGAAAAGAAATATGGAGGGGGAAAATGTGCTTCGCTATACTTTTTTTTTCTCTGCTCTGCATTTTCTCCCTGTCTATTTATATATTCTGGACAATGTCTAGTAAGTCTAATTTTTTAAAGATTTTTCTACTGTCACTGCTTTTCTTGCTGTCCCAGTGTTTAGAGTATGTTATTCATGTGCCAGGTTATGTATAAGTTTCCCCATGTAGTTCAGATCAAGGGTGCATCCAAATAAGTATCTGATTCCCTAGATTCATCACTCCTGGCTTCAGAAACTTGGATTTTGTGTCTAGTTTCAGCTTGAGTCAATAGGAAAGAGTTCAGTAACACCAGCACATGGATTAGAAGATGTTAGAGCTGAGAGATGAAAAGCAATACCAGGTTAACAGGACTAACCTCTCAGGGCTGCTTCTGAGATGTGGCAAATTACTCTCTGTCTCCCTCCACCTAAAGAGAGAGGTAGGCACCTAAAATTAGGAGAGGTTAACCCAGGCCCTGGTAGTGCCCCATGAGGGTGCTGAACAGGAGGTAACAAGAATTAAAAAACTTAGAGCAGACTTTTCCAAGCCTTACCCTCATGGTTTCCTCCTGTCAGGGATCTGGACTTGGAGATGCTCTGCATTTGATATGCTAATTCCTCTGTGACTTTCTCTAGTTTCTTAACTCATTACGTACCTTTGCAACCTGACCATCCACTACCAGCAGATTTTACACTTCAGTTCAGTATTGTGTAAAAGGGCACTTCTTTTCACAGAATCACAGAATATTGGGGATTGGAAGGGACCTCAAAAGATCATCTAGTCCAACCCCCCTGCCAGAGCAGGAACACCTAGATGAGATTACACAGGAAGGTGTCTAGGCAGGTTTTTTTTGTTTTCATTGTGCCATCTGATGAGCTCCGTCCTACTTTCCTGTGCTGTGATAACTATTGGCATGTTGTGTCTGCTTTTCTGTGTGCCACACAGAGCTCCAGCAGTGGCAAGAGTTGTATTGCCTTTAGGTTAAGTCAGCTCTTGTGTAGTTGGCAAGGTCAAACATGATGTTACATTGGAACAGGCTGCCCAGGGAAGTGGTGGAGTCACCATCCTTGGACGTGTTCAAAAAATGTGTAGACATGGCACTTCAGGACATGGTTTAGTGGGCAAGGTGGTGTTCGGTTGACATTTGGACTGGATGATGTTAGAGGTCATTTCCAACTTTAATGTTTCTATGAACCATGAGCTAAATGCCTCACTCTGCGTTTTTGGGGGTAGCTGCACATTTTGGCTGTGGCCTTTGCCTGCCAGTCATGCTCTCCTGGCGAAGGGCGAGTGAGAGGGATTTCATCCTCTCACTACCTCTGTGCAAGCCATCACCTGGCAGGACTGGACAGAGGGCTGCCACTACCCTAAGATCAGGCAAGACCTCCTTCCCCAGGCCTTGATGGGAAAACACTGCAAGGAAGATTTTGTGTGAGCTTTTCCCAATGTGTTGCTGTTTATATTCAAACTGTCATGGGGTTTTTTTTCAAACTACTTAAATTTTAAGCAGTAAACCTAATTTGATCCTCATCACCTGTGGGTTTGAGGGAGCTCTGCTGAGCATCAACGGATGAACACCTGTCCTTTCCTTCCTCTCCTAGGATTTTAGATAATGGGCTGTGTGCAATGTAAGGATAAAGAAGCAACAAAACTGACCGACGAGAGGGATGGCAGTTTAACTCAAAGCTCAGGCTACCGCTATGGGACAGATCCCACTCCACAGCACTATCCTAACTTCGGTGTGACTTCAATCCCAAACTACAACAACTTCCATGCCACAGGAGGCCAAGGACTGACCGTGTTTGGTGGAGTCAATTCCTCCTCTCATACAGGGACGCTGCGTACAAGAGGGGGAACTGGTGAGTTTCAAAATCTTCTTTCAGTGCTCTTAGTCACATAACTACAGCGGGGACACGACTTTTTCGGCATGCTAGTTTTGGGAAGAGCTATTTCAGGAAATAGTGCAAAAAATTGAAGCTGGGACTTCAGCCCTACCTTTGCTAAATTGCAGTTCACTTGGGGGGTGTGAAATTATGTATGCACGCCCAGTTTGGCTGACTGACTGCCTTACCCCCCTGCAAGGGAATGGAAAGTGTCTCGGCCAGCTTAAGTAGTTGACAGGAAATACTTGGCACGGCTATGTATAAACCCTCTCTTCAAATCCCCTTTGCCCACTTGGGAGCCTACATTGTGTGTGAGTACCAAACCACGAGGACTGATGACTCTACAAACTGAAGGCAGTGGCGTGCCCACTGGCTGTGTAAAATCACAGGGATTAGCATGGTTGTCCAAAAAGTAGGAGACTTCAGTTTATTTTGCTCCTCAATTACTGGAGTGGCTTACGTTTGGCTTAGTCACCTGATCTCTCGAAGCTCCTTTCCCTCCTGTTTTTTGTATGGAATGTAACTCGCCTATCTTCTCCTTCAGGTGTAACTCTTTTTGTGGCGCTTTATGACTATGAAGCAAGAACAGAAGATGACTTAAGTTTTCACAAAGGAGAAAAATTTCAAATACTTAACAGCTCGTAAGTTTTAGGCTTGGAAATAAGCTTCTTAATATTTTTAAACTTATAATGTTGACAATTATATATGTCAGCTTATGTCACTAGTAAAATCTAATGCTGTATACTCAAGATATGTAGGGCTTTTACTCTATGCTTACTTAATGCTTTGCATTTAGTGCACTTTTACAAAGTGCTTTATTATTGAAAAAACCCCACCTCAACCACATGTAGCTTTACTTCAAAAATAAGTGTTAGATTGTGTGATTCAACGCTTACATTCCACACTAAACTCACATTCACAACTGAGAGTACCAGCTCTGTACTTTACCAGTAGTTGCAGAAGTTCTGCACGGCACGTACTAACGCTTTTTGCAATCTGCTGCAAGTATCTCTGCACAGAAATGAGCTAAAAACTGATTCACAAAAGAGATATTACCCAGACTTGCATGCCAAGTTTAAAAGCATTTTTTTTTCCTTTTAAAGGTAGATGATGCAGTCAGAACATTCTAGGAAGTTCTGTTAAGTGAGAATGCACCATTGTACAGTTGCATTTGGCATGAAAATCACACTTCCATCCTGGAAATCATCAACTTAAAATTAATTTTATTAACTTCCCATAGAAAAAAAATCCCCTAGCAATTTAAAAATAACATCTAAAACTTACTGTGCTACTGACCTATATCTGAACACCTCGTAATTCTTGGCTAAGAACATAAAGTTGAAGGCTCTGTGTTATGTTCAGTATTGCTATCATGTAGAGGTAAAATGGGTTAACAACCAAGTATGTCATTTTCTAGAGGCTTTGTGATATTACTGTCATCTTTTTTCCTTACACTATGTGACAATGAGGCAAATTCATACCTAGTGCAACTCTTGTTAATTTTAATAGAACAACTCCAGGGTTGGATTTGGCTCAATGTGCAGTAAAGTTAAAAAAAAAAAAAAAATCAAGTAATTCTGTGGAATATTTCATGAAGCCATGAAGCTGAAGAGCTTTGATGTAGATGAAAGCACAGAAACTTCAGTTAGGACTTGTAGAGGGAGCAGCAGTTTAAAAACCTCTCTACTTCTAAATTAGCACTTAGAAAAAAACCCCTTTTTTAACCTATTATCAATTTTTGTTCATATTGCCTGCTGCTTTCCTAACCTTGCACAAACTGTGCCATAATGTGAAACAAGAAGGAATTCCATGCATTATAAATTCTTCACACGCACCAGTTGATGAAATCATGGGGTGCTCACCAGGGCGTGTGGAGCATTCATACTTGGAATCTGTGGGACAGAGAGATCCCCCACATGTGAACGGTTGCAGTACCTGCATTTTGATGCAGGTAATTACTACCTGGGGGATGGTTTTCTTAAAAAAAAAAAATAAAAATAAAAAAGGCATCCACTGATTTTCTTATAGGATTATAGAAGCTCAGTTCCCATCATAGTCAGTTCTGTCTGCTTACAAACACAGACCAAACCACATTCCTGGAGTACTGGGAATCTCCAGAAAACGACTTTTCTGTGAGAATGCTTCCTCTCTTCACTTACATCAGAAATTATATGAAAGAAACCCATTTTTTTACGAGTCTGACAATGCTGCTTGCAACCAGAAAGCATGTATATGTGCACAAAAATAGTTTGCCTGGAATTTTTAGAGGGGTTTGGATTTTTTTTTTAGCTCTCAACAAATGAAATTTGATTTGTGCTTTGGATTAAAAGTTCAGGACAGCAATACCTGAAACGGCATACAGAGATTATCCTAAGGCAGCCTGGGGGAAAGAGGTACCTGCAGGAGCGGGTCAGAGCAGAGCCAAAAAGCCTGACTTCAGGGCTCAGAAACACTCAGCCACCCTCTGCATCCCCACCGGCACTCCCCGCACATCCCCCATTGACTAGCCTCCTCCTACCTCAGTTGGGTGTCCAAAATTAAGGGCTGTGACAAAAGTCTGCATTCCTCCTCCTTTCTGGAAATGCTTTGAGAGATTTGAGCTTCTCTGTCGAAGCAGAGGGTGTTGTTCCTGATGCTGTGATCTTCTACAGGACTGCTTTTTTCTTCCCTAGGTATGATAAAATACCTCCATCTAGTGGTCTCTCTGTACAGTAAGGAGAAGAAATGTAATGGTACAATTTATCAACCACAGCATGGCATCACCTCTCAGAAATATTCTACAGCAACATATGGGGGAAGAGTTAGCAGTTCTCCTGGTAAAATTAGGGATGCAAACAGATAGGGCCATTTGCCTGACATACTAATGCACACAAGGTATATTAAAGTAGTGTCAGCTGCCAGCCTCTAGAAAACCTACTTGTTCTTCACTTTTTTGAACTGTAAAATTATAAACGTCTCCTTTTTGACTAATGAGTATTTTTCTATTTTCTAAAAACTATTTTCTAGTTTTTTTCCATAGAGTTTATACTTCTTCGAACTTTTAAAGAAAGTGGAGTTGAAAATTCAAAGTAAGATCTCACCTTAACACAACCTTTTCTGCCAGTAATAGCTCAGACAATGTATTTTCTGTAACTGCTTGCTTACAAAAGTGACTGAATTCTCTGGCCACGTTTGATAATAGTGTTCTATTTAGTGAACAAATCTCTGTTTTATGGAGAGGGGAACCGAGAATTAGTTTTTAAGTAGTCCAGAAATAGAAAGAGAAGGCTTCTTACTAGCAGTAGGAGTTAAACATCAGTGAATCTGGTGCCAAGAATGAAATACAAATTGCTAAATCCCAAATCATTGCATCCTGTAAAAAGCTAAGAAATAAAACCTCTCTTAAAGCTGCACATTCTACAGCAACACGCGTTGTCTGAAGTGAAGTACCATGTCCCACTTGTTCACACCAGTGTAAGACAAAAATTGATGCTAAGCCTGTGGAACACTGCCATGAGATGGTCCTGCATGGACCCCTTCATATTTAAATGTTGTAGAAGAATGGAGTTTTGGTATATGAAAATGCAGCTACTTCAGATACCTCTTCTAGGTGGCCAGGAGAGGGAACCTAGACAATGAAGTGTGATCCTTAAGGGCCATCTAAAACTCAGTGTTAATAGATGGCTTTTTGATGCCTTTGGGTTTCAGATTAATTATCCCCATAGAAGTTTAAAATTAGCAGTGGAAATGACAGTGTTCAGTTTGGCAGTTTTTCTATAAGCTCTCTCACAAGTCTGTATTAGAATAATTACTATGGAGACAGTTTGCAATATTCTAGTCCAAATCCAGCCCTCATCAAACCCGATTTCACTGAGTTGTTATGCCTGTTTATGCCATTATGCTACGTTTGGGAGGCTATATTACTCATGAGCACTGAAATAATAATAGGTGTAAAGGAATACGTATATTATTTGGGTTTAGTTGGAAACAGCTCTCTCAGAAGCATGCCAGTGGCAGAGATGAGTTGCTGTAGCTTCTTACACCGCGCAGCTGCAGGTGCTGTTAGGAAAGTCAGATCATTGTCTTTACAGCTGTGTCTTGCTCTCACTTCTCCTCCTCACCTCTCTTTCTGCAGGGAAGGAGACTGGTGGGAGGCCCGGTCCTTGACAACAGGAGAAACTGGTTACATTCCCAGTAATTATGTGGCTCCAGTCGATTCCATCCAAGCAGAGGAGTATGTTTTCTTTTCGTTGTAAAGACCCATTAGTGCTGTATTTGAAGAAGGTTTGAGGAGTTGGTTTTGATTGATTGCAGTGATTTTTCAAATGACTTACATTATTTTTATTTCAGTTCTTAACTGCACTGATAAATAATTAGGTAATTAGTAAAAAAAGAAGCACAAGCTCAGTGCTTTTTCAATGTCAAGACAAAGGAAGAAAACCTAAAGGAACACAGGTCTGCTTCCTTTATTCAAGTGTCAACTAATTTCAAGCTTTAAGCAAAAGGTGCCCTTGCTTTTCCTGAACCAACTTGTAAAAATATTTGGGAGTCAATTAGTGTGCCAGCTGTCTATTAAAGAGGGCACGTCCTATCAACAAATACCTAGCAATAGGTAGGATGCCTACAATGCATACAGCAGGCAGCATAATGAGGACATATCTAAGTGAAAAATGGAGTGCTGTGTGTATCCATATTATTTCCAGTATAAAAGACACACCAGAGAAGCTGATATAGTTGAGCAGGTACTACTGTAGTCTCTACTTCAGGTTGTACTTGGTTGATGGTGAAACAAAAAAAAAAAAAAATTGCTGCAGAAAAGAAAAAGGTACTGAAACCCTGAAAGCCTTATACAACCACAGTAAAGTGGTTGCATCTGGTCCTTCTACTGAGGTTTTATAGCTGTGCTGCAACAAAAATACTGAGTACTAATACATTGCTGTGTAAGTCAAATACATAGTTTATAGCAACATCTGTAAAAATACTGATCTTCAGCAGTAAAACATTTTTTGCCCTTTTCCTTGTCTATTCCTTCCCCCTGCCAAGTCTTGCCCTCTGTTTGTCCAAGTCTGGCCTTTGTTGTAAGATACCAAATAAGCATTCTCAGTATCTACTGATTATAGGCCTAACGCAAAGTGCTACTGAACAACATATACAACATCTACTACACAATTTGTGACATTACCTTCCCACCACAATAAAAGAGACACAGCATGACAAAAATGCTTGAATATACTTGAGTAACCATAGTTTCCTCAAATAATCCTCCATGTCTGAGCGCTGTGTCTCTACCTAGTAATCCTGTGTAGCCCTTGTCTTACTATTTCTGCTGTTTCCCTAAGGTGGTACTTTGGCAAGCTTGGCCGAAAAGATGCTGAGAGGCAGCTGTTGTCATTTGGAAACCCCAGAGGTACCTTCCTGATCCGGGAAAGCGAAACTACCAAAGGTAAGCTGGTCAGAGTTATTCTGACTATGAATAAGAAGATATATGAGAAAAATTGTGTGAAGTGGTATGAAGGTAGAGACAAATGTCATCCCCTATGTATGTGTGCCAGGGAACTGGATGTCTGGACATCCCACTCCTTAGAGTGAGTGTTCAAAGCTGAGAACAACCCAAGTGCAACCCATGCCATGCTCAACCCATGGTATCTGCGGTGCAAGTCATACACAGGCAGGACGCTCTGCTCTGCTGTCACACTGAATATCACACTGTCTCTCACAATGCCTGTGTTGAGGATACTAGTATTGCAATGGAGTTGAGTGGAGAGTGCCCCCTCAGAACAGCAGCTATGGGGCTACGGGAGGCAGACCTCCTGGTGTCCGTACTCAGATCCAGGCACAGCCAGCTAGCTTACTGTCAACAGATGCTGGGAATCTCCAGTTTGGTTTGGTGAAAATTACTGCTTACTTCAGAACAAGCAGAATATTTGAACCTTCTTGCCTGGAAGATGTAAGATAAGATTTTTGGGGTGAGGGAGGTACTGGTTATTGTTTTGGGAAGAGTAGGGTATTTTTTTGGCCTTTCTCCTTTGAAATACTGGATCCTTGGGGGCGGGGGGAGGAAGATGTAGCAGCTTTAAATTCATAGATTAACAGTGAAAAGACTTGAAAGTATTTCTAATTAATATATTCATAAATTATTCAACTGTATCCATTCTGTTGAAGTCAAGTGGAAGGATGTATTCTCCTCCTTCCCTCTAAAAATATTGGATGTGTTCCAGTTTTTTTCGTGGGTGCTATCTTTGCTTTTACATTTTGTTCATGAGGCCTGTCAACATCTTCTTCAAAGTGCCATGTGTATGAAAAGATCTCTCTAGATCATATAACTGTTGAGGAGGAAACCTGCAACTAAGTGAAAACAAACCTATCCATTTCTCAGTTAACCAGCAATCCAAAACAATAGCTGTGGGAAGCATAAGTCACTAGGATTAATTCCATGTAAGTACTGAAGTCTAATGATGGTTCATGTAATTAAAGCACTGACTTGTCAGTGCTTTGATCAGAGCACACCCTGTCAGCTAGAGTTAGCGAGCAAAGTGGTTGGAATCATGGCTGGTAAAGGGGCTTAAAGAAGAGAAGAGCTGCTTCCCACTGCTCTCTGCAAGACCTATCTTCAGATGCTACATTCTGTCATCTAAAATTATAAGTTTTACATTTTTGACTCTTGCAGTCACTGGATTCTTCTTTCGCTGCCCGTAAGTCTGAAGACTGTTTCTGATGCAAAACCTGAACAAGCACACTGTTGTTTCAGACCGCTAATTTCCCATCTTATCACTCCACAGCTTCACCATACCTTATGTAGCAGTGAGGCATTCTTACCAGGAGCAAGACAGGATCTAACTTGCTCTTTTTCTGCAAATAGCCTCCACCTGTTCGTTTTCACCAACAGTTGTTGTGATATGTGTGAGGAGCAGGACTTCATTCCACTCTGGGCTGAGTTTAAAAACTCACTCATACAGGCAGGCATGGATCCTCAAAGCAGACACAACACTGTTTCTCTCAACCACATTATCAGTTTAGTCTGGCTTCTTTACAGTGATAGGGGATATGTTTTGCAGCGCTGTTTACTTAGCTAAGTCAGGGCTTTTTTCTAGACCTCCTGGTGAGACACAAAAGCATTGGGGAGAATGGAATAATCCATCATTGATGGACTTACAGCAACAAGCTTAATTCCTGTGCATTTGAATTTAAAGCTTTCTAGATCAAGCTAAGTTTGTATCAAAGCCATTGGAAAAAAACAAACATGCATGTTTTTTGTCAAAAATGCTTATTTTCCTTCTCATCTTTGTGGTGTTTCAACATGTTGTTAGAATAAAACAGAGAGAGCTTGTTGTTCATGAGTGAGAAAAAAGTCAGCTGGGAAGGCTCAAATGGTGCATTCTCCCATAAGTTTTCTCAAAATGCCTTGCTCCAGCTAGTCATCTTGGGCTTGAGGCAGGAATTGTTTTGTGACCTAGAATTGTCCCTTCTGCTTTAAATAACAATAATAACATTAATCAGGATCATGTTAAAAGAATCATCATGGATGACTTAAGCATGAATTTAACCTCCCTTGATCATGGTTGCCTTCTCTTCTTACTTCCAAAATAAATCATATGGAGCTCGCTTTTCATTTTTTCAATGCCCGACTACCCAGGTGCTTCATCAGCTCTTGTCTGTATAATCCTTCACCTGGTTTCAATCTCCACCCTCCTAGGTTGTCTGGTTTTAGGTCTGTTTTTTTAAAAAATTCATTAGTGTGATATATTGTAATGTCGTATTTCTATCCCAATTGTTATTACGTATATCTACCTCTTATATTTTAATTTATCATCAGATAATAATGAATAGTATAAATAACCAACAGCCTAAATAAATGGATAATGAAATCCATCTTGATTCTTGTTTTTGTCCAGATTTGAACTAAAGCTCCAGTCCTGCAACTTGATCCGAGGTCAGTGGGGGTCCACAGAGGGCCACCCACGCAGCTCTGATTGCAGACCTGGAGCCACAGAGTGTTTACATTTTCCTAAAGAATCTAAAATAGTGACCAGATAGGCAGGGAGCGTGACTAAAGAAAATACAGCTGCTGCCAGTGGATCAAAACTCACAAATGTGGAGGTGGAGAACACTGCCTGGAAAATTTTGAAAGTAGGCTGACAGCATACAACCCAGAGTGGTGGTACAAAGCATGCACAACATGTGCTTGCAAATCCTCAAAAAGCTTTGAACTCCTAGCTGAGAGCGATGTACTTACTCAGTGGGAGAACCTCCTCAGAAAAATATGCTAAACAAACAGTATTTTTCTACACTTAGAAATAAAAACCCTGTCACTCCTCTCGGGGTGTCTTCCATTCGCATAAACCAAAATCGTCTGTGTAAGTGCTGGCTCTTTTCCTCCTATTTAAAGGACAAACAACAGGGAATTTGAGAAGTCCTTGGAGTCAGGGTGGAGACATTTGTTTCTCTGCAGCTCCCTCGGCAGTGAGCCACCCGCCAGCGCGACCTGTTGCAGGTTAATGTTGTCAGGGAAACTTCTTCCTGGGGAGACATCCAGGAAAGACATTGTACACCAGGAATCTCAACCACCTAACCATGGGGGGTTCTTTAAATCATTTCACATAGCTGGAGGTGGTTCTGGAGGATGTGAACCTGCCAGGTGTGTTGAAAAGCACCCTGACTTGGGAGAAGCAGCAGTCGGTGCTGTTTGCTATCAGACCTGTAGGAAATCACTTCACCTTTCACGTTGTCCAAAATTGTCTGCTGGTGGTTTTCCTTTCCTGCCCTTAGCTGACACAGTTACCAGTGAAAGCAGCCCAGGCTCCAGAAGAAGGACCTTCCTGAGATCTCTTGCAGCTGCTTACCTCCATTTTTTTTTTCCTTTTAATGTCTGAATTACCTTTGAGTAAACACAATATTCATTTGAGCCATGAGTGAAGACTTGTCTTCTCCACTGGCTTTGAAATGACCGTGCTTTTGCTTAGAAACTGCATTGTGCTGTAATATGTGGCTTTGCTTTTGACACTGTAGAGAACCAACATCTGGATGTCACTGTATGTAGAACAGGACTGTACTTCAAATTAAGAGACCTGAATGTGCAGGTCCCCATGTAGGTGGCCAGGCTTCCTTTACAGTCCACAGGAAGCTGGGCTTCAGTTCAACTGCCCATGACTGCAGGCAACTAGTGCTCAAACCTGCATTACACCATCAATATCTGCAGTGCGATAACACTCATGGAAACTAGGCTTGGGATTCAGCTGCTCTAATAGCACCAGAAGCTTACGTGTGGGCACCTAAATCAAGCGCATAGCCCACACCTAAAACAAAATCCAGCCCCTCAACTGGAGTTCCTTTGCCTGACCGTGAGCATCCAGAGCCATTTGAAATGTCTGCAAGACATCCACATAGATTGGATAAACATGACAGCCTGTGGGAAAACTGCAAAGCAGGATGTCCTGCAGCATCTCACATGACACTTAACCCCCGTGTGTGGGCATCTGAATCCCACCAGTAAGCTCTAAAGCTCCAGCATTGATTTGGAAAGTGAAACATGCAGTTCTTGCAGATCTCCTGGTGCACAGTCTTGATGTAGTGCCGCCTTCCAAAGACTGTGACATACAAAGTTTGGGATCCATCTGAGTAACAACGCTACACATGTATAAAGTCATTATCTCCAGTGCTTCCTATGAAAATCTGGATATTTACTGCCCACTTGGCATTTACCTGAAGTATAGTATTTGCGGTGAAACCTGACACTTAGAATAGGAAAAGTCAATGTAACAACCTGAAGCAGTAAATGTTAAAATGTGAGTTTTCATTTACACAGAAGTCCTGCTGATTTCTTTCTAGAAAAGTGTGAAAGGGACGTGGTGCTAACATCGTAAGATTTCTGTGATACTTACTTCGTTGTGTTAGATTCACTTTTCTTTTTCAAGGTACATTAAGCATTTTTTTAGAAGCAATTTCTGTTTCACTTTATAACAACTGACCAGCAAACCAAAATCTGTGTGTCTAAAAGCTACTTACAATTTTTTATTTCTTCTTTGCTTGGAACAGGTGCCTATTCCCTGTCTATTCGAGACTGGGATGATATGAAAGGAGATCATGTCAAACATTATAAGATCCGTAAACTTGACAATGGTGGATATTATATCACAACTCGGGCACAATTTGAAACTCTTCAGCAGCTGGTTCAGCATTATTCAGGTAATTTTTCAGATAATACATAGCACACTGAAGTATTTTAAAACAAAAGTGTTTGCTGCTGAGCTGACATATGCGTAAGATACCCTAAAGAGTCATTTGAGCTACATCTCTTGCTTGTTGTAATGTATCTTCCTTTATCCCATTCCCATTACAGTTACAAATGGCTTCTGAGTGCTGTTCACAGCATACAGCAGCAGAGCTTTTAAAAGCTAGCACTCCACTGAAGTAAAGGTTTTGCCTGCTCTCCCTCTTCTAAGCAAACAGAATTACTGAATTTAACTTGCACATCTCAAAGCATGAATTCCCTGTGCATAAGTGAGTGCTGATATGCACCATTTTGCAGTACAGCATTGCTAATAAAGCAAATAGGGAATTGTATTGTGGAATTCAGTCACCTAAAGCATTGACCAAAAGGTCTGCATATATTACCTGACTCAAATTTTCCCTTTGGATTTGTGTTCAATGTGCAAAGAGTATTAACATTTAAATTATAATCAGTCTAATTTTAAAAATAAATAGGACAAGGTGGGTGTTTCTTTATATTCACTGTTCATGTCTACCCACCGAGCTCTTTTTTTTTTAATTCCTGTGATTAAAATGTGGCATGCAGTATTCAACCCAAGTGTGCATCCTGCTGTCACAGCCAATTGGTATACAATAGACATAATTTTAAAGCTCCCTAAACCTTTGGGTAGGTCCACCGGTTCTTACATAGAAGACTGACATGCTTCTCAACATGGTAATTTTTAAAGCAGAAGTTTGTATTTTAAATTATTTTGCTTTTTATTTTTTACTTACATCAGCTTTTCATAATATTAACAAATGACCCCAAATGCTCACTGCTCAAAAACTTTTCATAATTTTTACTTGGGAAATGAACTTCTCTGTGGGGTGTTTTTTCTGTATTCTTTGTATTCTGTCTGCTGTATTCTTATGCTATTCATACTAGACATCTGGCTGTCTTCTCCACCCAATTTCTGATGGGTGTATGCTGCCTGGGAGAATTTCTAGTTTCTGGTGACTCTACATTAAGCTAAGCTAAATAATGTATAAAAGCTCACGTCTAAGGAAAATAATTTTCACCCCTACTATACCGATGGGTACATGTAAACTTTTAGTTTTCTGCGGTCAAATTCTTTGGGTCCTGTATTTTCCATGCACAGATACAGAAATAAATAGATCTGGAAACAACCATTTCTGTGCAACACAGAGGTGTCATCAGTAGGATTCAGGTAGGGTAGCTCAGGAGGACGTGGTACAGACCCACACTCCAGAGGTTTCACCTGCAGTCTCCCACACCCAGGTGAACACAGGAGCCCTCATTCCATGCCAGCCCCAGCTGACTCCAAACATAAAACGTTCCTCTAACCACCTGTTCTGCACTCTGGATTGTGGGAAGTAGATTAGCACAATGCCTTGTGAGTGCCTAGATTTACTTTTAGGGAGAGCTCAAAGATGCCCAAATGACTATAAAGATTAGTGTGGTTCCTGAAGAACCACTGCTGAGACCACAGGTTAGTGTCTCCACAGCAGGACCGGTATGCTCTGCAGCCCATCCTTCAGCCTTCATCCCATAGTTGTCCAGGCTGGAGAACGCCTCCTGTACAGGCATCTGGAAACCAGGCTACCCAAGCAGACAGTGTGCAGTTTGGTCTCATGAAAGCAGTCCTGGGTCAGGAGTTGGAATTACAAAGTGCACCTTTGTGGAGACACAGCGCAGCTATCCCTGCACTGCGCTCCCATTGCACTGCCGAGTACCCTTATTACCCAGGCTTCTCTCTTATCCCAGCCCCTTCTTACCTGGATAATAAAATTAACTGCAGTGTCTGGACTTTCACTGATGAGATTTACAAATGAAAAATATTGAGTTCCCCAGGGATTCTGATATCAGACCAGGGTCCAGTAACAGCACATCCAAAGTTGAAGCATCATTCACCCAGTCCCAAACAGCTGACCTGTCAAGCATAAGCTCCTGTGCATGCAGTCTAGGCTTAACTGGAGCACCAGCATGCCAAGCTTTTTTGTCAATTAAAGAAAACAAGGAGGTCTTAAAAACCTCCAGTTTCTTTCTGCAGCTGTCCAAACTCATAAGGAAGCTTCCCAGACCCTATCCATATTTTGAGTAGTCCCTGTCCTGATGTTCTCATTAGAACTGTCTTGGAATAAGACATGCCAGCTGGTCAGCTAACCTTCCCTGTTCTGTGATCTTTGCTGTCTTGCTGCAGGAGACACAATGAGGTCTATGACAGGGTGTCCGTAGGGACTTGCCTACCATCCTATAACATTTGTGCTGAGGAGGTAGAGCTTAGTGTTGCAAGGAGCTTCAGTGCTTGCCCACCTTGTGATGCTGAAACGAACTGTTCACCTGCCCAGAAAGAACTCTTGCACAGGAGAATAAAGATTATGTTTGAATCTGAAATACAATTGCAGATCCCCACCTTGTTCTGCTGTGCTGCACCTGTTTAAGACACAAGTCACTGTGCAAGCTTTATATTTTAGTCTGCCTTGTGCAGCATAGTCTGCTACACAACAATATGTGTGTACAAATATATTTATATATATATCATTGTTTTTACTCCTGCTAAGATAGCTTGTGACTTTTGTCACAGTTCAGTCTTCTGTGAAGCTTTGCAAGAGATAAGTATAATGAATATGCCCAAAATGATGTAGGACTGGCTGCATCCACTAATAAAGGTTGGCTATAGAAAGAATGGCAGAAAAAAGTCTTTTACAGGACACCTACAAAAACACCTTTTCACATGGTAGAATATAGAAAATACCTTTTCCCAGGATACCTAGAAAAAAATTTGCAAAGAACGTCTGCCAAATGTTCATTGCTGTGATTTTCAGAAAAAAATTAATCTTCTCTATGTTTCTTTTACTCAGTTCAGAAACAATCCAGTTTGTGGATTACAGATTATTTTTAAAAAGGTATACTGTACTATAGTGTACCAGCTACTCATAAAGTTATCTTAATTCAGCACTGTGGGAGAAGGGAAATCCTGAGTCCACAAGAGAAACGTTGGTGGTCACCTTCCATTTCAGGCTGAGACTAAAATATTTCTTGTACTGTCTCAAATGAGTATGTTTCAGTGTTCAATTTCTAATCTTCCAGGATGCTTTGTTGTATGCAACTAACAGCTGTTGTGAGTAGCATTGTTTTTATGCTTACTGTTTTTGTTTCATGTCACACTTTTTTTTCTTTCCTCTCCTTTGCTGTTGGCTTCACTTCTGGCTCCATCAGAGAGAGCTGCAGGTCTTTGCTGCCGCTTAGTAGTCCCCTGTCATAAAGGAATGCCAAGGCTTACTGATCTGTCTGTCAAAACCAAAGATGTCTGGGAAATTCCACGAGAATCCCTACAGTTGATCAAGAGACTGGGAAATGGGCAGTTTGGGGAAGTATGGATGGGTATGGAGCAAAATAATTATTCTAAAATAGCTCTCTGTGTGGGGTTTACAAGATGGAAGGTGAAAATGTGGGCAACTGTGACCCACAAGAAAAAAAAGAGCAAAGCTCAAACTGTTAGGAAAAAATGTCTTTGGAATCATGTCTTTGACTTTGAAATTCTTTAATCTTCAACTTTCACTGTAATTGATAGCAAAAGAAAACTGAAGTTCTGTGTTTCCTTGGAAGGTTTTGATTTTGACAAATTACCACTGTCTTAATAATAAATCAAGGCTTGCATAGTAATCTATTAATTATACCAAGGAGCCTTTTTCTGCAAGCTAACAAAAAAGTCCTTCAGTACCCAAAAGTCAATGTTTGCAAATGAACTTTAATGCAGCACTGCGACACAAGTCACCTTCCATCTTTCTCAATGCATGCATAATTTTGGATTATAAGTGTGTTTTTTTTATTAATTTCCTCTCCTATAGAGAAAGCTGATGGTTTGTGTTTTAACTTAACTGTGATTGCTACGAATAATACCCCACAAACTGTTGGATTGGCTAAAGATGCATGGGAAGTTGCACGTGATTCATTATTTCTGGAACAGAAGCTTGGTCAGGGGTGTTTCGCTGAAGTGTGGCGTGGTAAGGCAGAGAATATATTTTGCTTTGGATGGATCTTTTAAGGCCCTCTTGGCAGAAATAAACATTTCAAGTTGAGATTGTAAAGCTAAAAGATCAAAATAGCATGAAATGTTAGTTCATATTGCCTAAAACAGTCAGACCTAAATACAGTAATCCATGGGGAAACTTCCTTTCATTTGCACACACTGGTATGAGAGGTTAGGGCATTAAACTCCATTAATTGCATTGGGTTTATTTGAGTGACTACACAATTGCTAGGTATTAAAATAGGAATTATGCTAAACTTGTGAGGCAGAATGGCTAACCAGAAATTAATCTGGTAAGTAGATGTTTTTCTTTCCTTGTGTGTTTTAGCATTGATGGGGTTAGACCCTGCAAATGCTTCCATCCACTCTCTCCGTTTAAAAATAATGGCAAGTATCAGCAAGCTGATGTTCTCAAGCTAGCTTTCCCATGCATCCACTTCTTGAAATCTGTTTTGAAATTTGTCTCTGCAGCAGAACCCCATAACTCAATATTGAGACCAGGGACAATAGAGGCAAGACTTGCCCATCCCAGATGAAGCCCCACTTTGAAGTCCAGAAATACTGACATTTTCCAAATCCACTGACATTTTTTTCTGCGTGCTTGCCAGCTTTACATACTCCTCCCCTCTCTCTGGGCCTCATTCTTTTAATGACTATAAAACAATGGCAGTTTAAAATATACATAAATCTTAATATAGCCGTAGCACTAAAGCACAATATAGTGGCCATTTAATGAGAGGTGGGCTCAATTTTGGGGCCAAATTGCATTCTGTGTAGTCTCTTTAAAATGACCGATTTAAATAATTAAAGAAATGCTATATATTGTTTCTTTATGTTAAAATCATTTGGTAGAGCTGCTCTTTTTGTTGCAGTGACACAAAAGTACATACAACCAAAATAATCAGTGGTCTCTCCTGGGCTCTCCTGGGTGGCTGTTTTCTGTTGCAGGACTACAGCAAGGAGCATGGCAACAAGTCTGTGAAATTTATAGAATTATAGACTAGAAATTTAGACATTTATAGAATTTCACAGAATTGCAGTTGACCTGTTGCAAAGAAAACTGCCTGTTTTCTTTGACCTGTTTATATTAACATCCCCAGATAACTACAGTTTCACCTTCCTGTTCTCCATCTTGAATGCATGTGAGAGTTTCAGGTTGATGTGAGTACTTAGTGGTCAGCTTTGTGTGCCATAGATCTTAAGCTGTTATGACAAGCTTAAGTAGCAAATGCAATTAAAAAAAAAAAAAAAATCAGCTATGAGAAATACAGTGCCAAGGATCAGTACCAAACATCTGTCAGAAATGTAAAAATTGTTATTACAATTATGACATTATGTTTCTTAAAGTAATGAATAGTAAAAATATGTTAACAGCCCTGAAGCATTACCAAATTGGAATAGATTAACACAGTAAAAATTAATAAAAAATGCATTAAGTAGTAACTAACTACATATGGGAGGAATTCAGAGGGAGGTCTCTGCTAATTTTCTATTAGAGAGAAAAATACCAAACCACTACAAGAAAATTTAACAATTTAAACTGAAACATGGGCTGAAAGGATAAGTTAAACTTTTTGTTTGATTTTATTTTTTTAACCAGAGAAACTCATAAAAGTATTTAAAAATAGAACTGCTGAAAACGCTTCATGGTAACAGAACGACTCCTGGGATTTTTATTAAGGCAATGCAAACAGATTATACACAGTTAATCCTTTACACCAGGTAAAATCCTAGTTTATTAATGCCAGTGACAGAAATCCTAGTGCCCGTGAAACTAGGGTTTAATTCCTGGTTCATATAACTTGCGACACCTCTGCACAGTGGCTGTGACTGACAGCGCTCTGTGGTCTGGAGCCTCAGTGGCTTTAGACGAAACATGCTCCCTTTCACCCATCAGAAAAGATTTTGGCCACCCTGCTTGAAATTAGGAGGTGAAACCGCATCCTTCCCAGCTTACACAGGAGTGCCACAAAGGGAAGTCCTGCTTCAGCTCTGATCTGAAGGACTGAGCGAAGCTAAGACCTCAGGAGTCCTCCTCAAGCATACTGGGGTAGCCGTGGGTGTAACTCAAGACATTACTCTGCCAGCGGTAGAGGTGACAGCAGCTGGCACTGAGCTGGCAGAAGAAAATCAAAGCATAGTGAAAATCGATCCTGCGCTGCACACTTTTGGCTCATAGAAGCCTCAAGCCCCCCTCAGACAGCATCGTGTGTTGCTGCTGGGATTGATCTGTAAGTGAGGGATGACACAGGCAGTGCCTCCCCTGCCACTCCTCCCCTGTCCTCGGCTAGGAGAGGTGGCAGCTGGGACCTGACCACTTGCACAAAAACCAGTCCAGCTCATTTTATGCTCTGGCAGGTTGCAAAAGCTCATGATTAAGTTATCTGGGCTTAACCAGTTCCCATGGAGCAGCTGAGCCCTGGTAACTGTTGATGTGCTTTTAACAAAGACAAACCAGGCTTATTTTACACATTACCTTTTTTGATGACATCCTAAATTACAGAAACTAGATCTGAGACTGAGTCTTCATGTACTTTGTAGGCCTTCTGCTGTCCTCATGCTTAAATGCAGAGGAGTAATTTTTATCCATTGTGATTAATTCCTGCAGTTATTTAGTATTGTTCTACCTTATCACACAGCAGCTCCCTATCAACCAATCACAGGTCCCATTCAAAGCCATTGCAGCCCTGGCTCTCGAGCAGGGTTCTGGCAAGACTGGGCAAGGGACAACCAGAAGGCACTAGCAAAGTAGTATTTCTGCCCATTTTAATTTTCCTTCCTTTCCCTTCCCCAGTACACCATTCCCCACCTGTTAACATAGGTAGGTGGGGTTTTTTTCTTTCCAGTCCTCCTTCTCCTGCTTGCAAATACCCAAGTGAAGCCCCACCTCTTGTGGGACACCCTGAGTCAGCCTTCCCCAGCTCTCTCCAGGTCCTTGTGTAGGCTCTCAGATGTTACCAAAGGCTTGGCAGATGATGGCTGAAAAATGATGCAACTTGTCCATTTCAGTGCTGATCGCAAGTAAAGAACAAAGTGAAGTGGACAGGCTTCTGGAGATGAGGAGGGGAAGGAAAAAGATGCATTTCAGTTTGGAAACACACCTGTGTTTCTAAAATGAAATTGATGCAGAATTTGTTTCTTGGGAATTTTTCTTAGAATATTTTTTTTCCTCTGACTCAGAACAAAACCAAAATGTTAAAATGTCTTGCAAATGGAAAGTTCTGGGTTTAGCCAGTTTTGTTATCCAGATCTGTGACTGGAGCTGTGTTGTTGTCTGTAGCAATTACTTGTTAGCAAGGGAATACATGAAGATGGGTTTCAGCAGTCCCGTGTTTCTTACTCAGAGAAGGTTTCTGTGGACATCAGTGGAAGCATTGTCTGAGTAGGAAAATGGCGATTATGCCCCAGTGCCAATAGGAGTATTATTTTTCAGTATAATATAAAGAGACTAAAATATGATTGGGGAGTGGGAGGAATATAATGATAAGGCAACATGGGAAACCACACTTTAAAAAATAATTATATTAAGTGTCCTTGCTGGTTTATTCCTTGGTTACATTAGGCATCGGGCAAAAAAAGGAACAGAAGATGTTTAATCTGACTAAGTAACTGTGCTTGTAGGTACGTGGAACGGAAATACTAAAGTGGCTATCAAGACCCTGAAGCCTGGCACTATGTCTCCAGAATCCTTCTTAGAGGAAGCCCAAATCATGAAGAAGCTCAAACACGACAAATTGGTTCAACTTTATGCTGTGGTATCTGAAGAACCTATCTATATTGTCACAGAGTACATGAGCAAAGGTGAAGCCAGAGCTGCTGTCCTTGATAACAATATTTTTTCTTTGTTGGTGCTCCTTAAGGATACAGAGGGAGGTGCAGTGTGATGCATGAACAGCATGTGAGGAAGGAGAGAGGGAACAGGAACCTAAATTCATCTCTGGATTCAAAAGAATTATGAATCCAACTCTGAAGTGGGATTCAAAACTTGAAATCCACTAGATGGACAAAGAAATGCACTAGATGGGGAAGGGAGAAGTTGGCACAGCCTAAGTGCTTCCAACTGCATCAGCATCTAAGCTTCCCTGACAAGTGGAGATTTGCATTTTCTAGGTTTGAATAATGCTACATGCTGCTTCCCGAGATCCCAGCTTTTCCTGGTGCCAGAGAGTTCGTATGGCATCTTCTTTAGTGTTTACTTAACCACCCTAAGACTTCTATTTCTTCTTTTAGCAATCCTGAGTTCAGATCACATTTTCAGTCCACCCCATTTATCACTTTAATACATGATTTAATATATTATTCTTTCCCTCCTCTTTCCCCTTCCCTTTCCCCTTCACCCTTCTCTTTTCCTTTAAGCTATTTAACTGGTAATGATGTAGTAAAATGAGAAAAGGAAAACTTTTCACTCTGTCAGATCTCCAGCCGGGGTGCTGAGAGCAGAGCAAAAAATCTGCTTGTTTTGGAAAAGCAAATGAACCAAATAGGAAACATAAGTTCTCACAGGGAAATTTCATTGTCCATTGGAGGATACACTCTGAAATTTTAAGTGCATTTTTTCAGTCTATTTGGAGTTGATTTTTATTTTCCTGGCAGGTGCCTGCCCACCTCCCTCCTCAGAGGCATCCAAGACCTGACTAACTCACACTTTAATCATATGTCTCAGTGACATCCATGTGCTTTTTCCCCTTTAAAAAAAAGACTTCTGAAAATCCTTCTGAAGTATGTGGTTTATTTTGGCTTACTTACTAGTTTTTACTGTAACATTTTACATCTTTGGATCTGAGCTTGAGGCTGACGATTTATCAAGGGAGAAACGCCTAATCATCTGTCTTTTTCCTTTATTTATTAAACCAATTCACTGACCTTATTTAAAGGAGACTGACACATTTTTCCATTTGAATGCAAGATTGAGAAGGAAACTGTAGCATCCTAGGCTTTTTTTAAAAGCTTCAGGGACCTTCTCTGCTTTCCCTTGCACAGTGGAGCTGTGTCCTTGTTGCTTTTGCTAAAATTGCTTTCACTTGATCTTTGCTTTGTCTTCTGTAGTTCTCCATAGTAGTCTTCTAAAATTAATGGTTCATGCTACATTTGGCTATGAGTTACCTAGAGAAGGAGCACTACTAATTTCTAAGAAAAATTAGCCTTTGTTAATGCTAGCCCCTTTGGGCTTACCAGGCTCCAAGCTGAACTTTCTTTTGGAGCAGGTTGAGCTGGGATCTGACTTTTTCCATAGCTTGTGTGGCTTGGAATCGAGCTGACGCTTTGCAGCTAGCTGAGGCCTTTAGAGAGCAGCAGGTATGTAGTTTCAAAGAGCACTGGAAAAGTTAAGAAAGATCAACTTTCTCTGTAATGGTCAGGAAAATTAAAAGCATTGTTGTTTCTTTTCCCTGCAATTCTCTTTGGACTAGTGACATGTTCTTCTGCAAGCCAACCTGAAAGAAGAGTGAAACAAGTATAACAGGAGAATTCTAAGATATTGTGGGTTTTTTCTGAAACTGTCCACTTGAACTTGAAACATTGCACTTTAGTGTTGCACATAATGCTGCACCTCTATCCTGATGAATAGCTATTGTTTCCCTAACATCTCTCCATTGTGTCAACTTTACATTTGCAGGGAGTTTACTAGATTTCTTAAAAGATGGAGAAGGAAGAGCTTTGAAGTTACCGAATTTGGTGGACATGGCAGCCCAGGTCTGTCTTCAGAATATCGAGCACTTAGGTGTATATGTTTTATAGCCCGCATATGTCTGAGTTCATGTTAAAATGCACCAATTGTGTTTCATGGTCCTTGCAGGTGGCTGCAGGAATGGCGTACATCGAGCGAATGAATTACATACACAGAGATCTGCGGTCTGCAAACATTCTGGTGGGGAACGGCCTAATATGCAAGATTGCCGACTTCGGATTGGCAAGGCTGATTGAAGACAACGAATATACGGCCAGACAAGGTAGATACAGCAGCAGGCATAGCACTGAGTGTCATTCTTGTGACAGGGGAAGAGTGGAACAAGGCTTTTAAAAGCTCTCTCTCATATGCTTTGGAGTTGCTTTCAGTAAATCCTGAACTCATATTAACTCCTAGCCCAGAACTTCACTGCTGAATGCATGTCCTAAAGAGAACGTCTTACGTAGTTGTCTTCCCTTTAAAAACTGACCAACATGAAACAAAAATGATGAGTGAGAGCAAAGGTGGGTATTGTGACAGTAAAGGCAAGATCCTCGTGGTGCCATAACAAAGAGGATGTTTTGCTTACCAACCTTGAAAACCTGAATGGGGTAATCCAGAAAAGCCTATGCAAGCTGTTTCTTTCATAGTGTGCCTTCTAGTATTTACTAACCACTATCAACATTGCTGTGCTATTCTCATTTTGGTTATTTCAAACGGGTCAGAGAATTGTGTCTCTATGCAATGGAGCTGTCTCTCTGAGCGCTATGTTTTCTGTGGGAACTTAAAAAGTTACTTTAATAGGAAAACTGTTTTCCAGTGCCACACAGAGTGCTGGGCACAGCTGGCCACTGGTACACTACAAAAATGTATCAAAGAGTATTGTAGCTTTTCTTAAAAAGCATGTGTGTGTTCAGACTGAGCCATGACACAGGCTTTTTGTAGTTAGTCATTCTTTACAAGTCATGCTTAGTTGTCAGATGTTGGTCCAAGTTTGCAGAGCTACAGTTTTGTTCTCTTTCTGTTGGCAGTACTCATAGTGCTTGCTCAATATGTGTCGGTAAATACCACTCTGTCCATTTCAGTGCCAAAGCCAAGGAGTGTCCTATTAAACCCTGTTTATATGTCATAAGAAAGCACAAGTTAGTTAAGTACTTCATAACCTGCATTTACCCCTTCCTGTTGTGAGTTTTTTCTTTTGACCAGAAGTCCCTGTTTCAGCATGGATTTTGCCATTAATTCTTAGGAAAGAGATAACCTCTTTCTGTAACTTTCAAGTGTTGACAGAAGGAGCCAGAGAGTTTCCAGCATGCCTTGTCTTGGCCTGGGAGCAGCAGCTCTTGTGCCATTCACACCCCTCCGAACTGCTGTCAGCAGTACCTGGCCACAGGGATGTGGACCACAGGCTGCATCCACCCTAAAGTTGCCTGTTTCACACTTGGACAGCAAGGCCTGATTATTTTGGGAGAACTCTTGAAGAGCCTGTGATAGGTACTGATGCAGAGAGTTAACCACTATTGATTTCAGCCTGAGGGTGGGAATTGCTCCTTGCTAGAAAAAATAGCCTTGTGTCATTCTATCCAGAATAACAAAAGTGTGTGCAGGCTCTGGTAGACAGAAAGCTGCCTGCTTGCCCTTCCCCTGTGTAAAATGAGAAGGGTTTTCCTTGAACAAGGCAGCCAGATCCAGTCTGCAAAATGGCTTTGAAAAAGTGTCCTGTATTATCTCCATTTCTGTCCGTTTTACTGCCACGTCTTTTGTTCCCCTTGGAAACCACCCAATGTATAATTTGACATGACTAATTATTTGGTTTAATAGTAAGTATGTGACCTACTTTTGGCCAGATCTCTTCAGGCTCCTGATCCCTAGAAAATCCTCTGATGACCTGTTTGCTTCCTAGTTTAAATCTCTCATAATAGTTTTGCCCTCTTCACATGTTAGAAAGCCATGAAAACCTGCCTGACTGATGCTGAGGAAAAGCTTCGATTTTTTTAAGACTATAAAAACTACTGGGTTTTGGGTGAGAAAACTTTGAGCTGGGAAAAGCATAACACTGGGACTGTCAGGGAGAGGGAGTGTAGTCATGGGTATCTCTTGCCCTTCTTCCATGGCAGAAATCACTTCTATTGTGGAAAACATGTCTGGGAAGGGAGAAGTCAGTTCGCTTTTAACCTGCACTGCTGATGATCCAGAGATCTGAATCGTGTTTGCCTGGCTTCATCTCATGCTGCAAGTACAGAGAAGTCACCCATCCTTCCGATACTTCACGGCAATGGACAATACTTCCTGACCCTGACCTCAGGGTCAGGCTTCAGTCCTTCAGACCTACAGAATTCCTTAAAAGAGAGATTCAAAGAGCTGTAAGCACAGGCGTCTTGTAGAAAGGTTTTCCTACTTTCACTAATGTTTTTTTAATCCTATCTTAAGTGGTAGCTTGTTCTAGGGAGGGGTGCATTTTTGACCAAGCAGCACACTCTCAATTTACATTTCATTGCAATTAACCTGGCTTCCAAGCCAGTTGAGCAGCCAGGGTGAGCCTAGGACCTTGAATTTATTGAGGAAGAAACATGGTTTCTAGTATGCCACTGGAATTTTTCTTCAAGTGGGGATTCAGTCCTGGTTTGTTTAGTTAAACTTCAGTTCGAGCATTGCTTGGTGGAGACCACAGTATCAGAAGGAAACGGTTGCCCCTGCTTGTTTCCCATGACCTATTACTTCAGCCTCCAAGGGGATGCATCTGGGGACTGCTCTGTTTATCTAGCTGACTACTGCTGCAGTGGGAATTTTGACACAGGAGGAGAGCCTGGCCAGCGGAGGGGAGGGGGGTGGGGAGTGCTTCAGACTGGCAGCTCCTGTGGGAGAAAGGAAACGTTTTACCTTACAAAATCTGAAGATTAAAACCTCTGGACACTCTCCTCAGCAATCGTCCTTCTCTTGGCCTAAGTGTGTTAGTATAGAGCTCACTGTCGGCGCAGGGAAGAGGTGGTTTTCTCCAGCCTTGCTTGATCTCCTGCTCCCTTCCCCCACTGTCACTTTTGTCTCCGATTAAATATTTTGAAAGGAAACAGATGGGGATGCTTTGAGCCCTAGCAGGCTAGAATGCAGGATTCTGAACCTGTGTGGGTATTACCCAGCCTGGTGGTAACATTTTACTGACCGGTTTATTTTCTTTTTGATTTGAACAAAGGAGGCCTGACTGCTGATTTATGAGAGGTAAATAAAAAGCGATTCGTTGTCTGCACTGCCGTTTCTCAGCAATCGTCAGGAAGGAAAGAGATGGTCATGCCACTAATGATTTAAAGTGTGTGACTAACAGCTATACACTGCCATTAAATAATACAAAAAAAAGTTCTTGGCTTGTAATGAGCATTTGGCTCCTCTTGCTTTTAGAGGAAGTGAGTAATCAAAGGGGAAAAACATGCCTATTAAAGCGACGCCCATTTTAAAGGCTACGCTGATGGACTGTGTTGCAGCCTGCACCATTGGAGATTGCTTCTTTCGGCTGTTGCTGTCGCAACATCTTCCCCACTCCCCACAGTGTCCGGCATTCAGTCCTGTTCGCTTCCATCGGTGATGATGCTTGTGTCAGTCCTGTAAGGCAAGACTTAAAACTCCTGGTATCCTACAGGACAGAGAGAAACTTACCATTACATCCAACACATGCAGATTTCCCATGCAGTTCTGCTACCCTTACACTGATCTGGTTTGGAGCTATGTGGACTTCTGGCCAAGCACGTGGCATTTTTGTGGAGAGTGCCGAGTGCTCCACAGAATTGCTGAGGAAGAGTTGTTACTATTCTAAGCAGTGGCAGCTGATACAAATTTAAAATTGCCTTAATAAAAAAAAAAGAGCAGTTATTTTCCAGTGTATGCATGTTTCTTCTGCATACACTGGCAGCACTTGCAGCAGTGCCGCTCCAAGCACACATGAAACAATAAGGATCTTTCTGATGCCTTCCAGACAAGTCAGAGCTATTTTGGGAGCTCTAGTACGTGTTTGTAAACTCGCAGATCATTTCTGCTTCCCTAACACGTAGAAAGATCTCCTTCCTGCCCTGCTTAAAACCAAGTCATACTTCTTATTTTGCTTTCCTAGAAACGAGCAGCGATTTCTTCCCCCTTCCAGGCTTTCCCCAGCCCTTTTGCAGAGAGTTGGCTCCCAGCTCACTAGCTAATCTGATCTGTCTTGTTCTCAACTGACTGTACTGCAGGCTGTAATGTCCAGGGCTTTGTTCTTGCTCTTTACCTATGGCCAGCCGTGGAGCAAACAGGAGGAAGGACTCTTGCTTCTCAACAGCCAGCTCCTGGGGTCCCAGAGGGGGATCACTGATATGCTCCTACAGAGGTGCCATCTGTTCTGGGAGAAGGAGCGCGGCCAGGTCAAGGGGAAGGGCGGGGGAAAGGGGGGCATGCAGGGAAAGGCAGAGGGCGAGAGGGGTGTTTAGATCTGCAGTTCCGCCCCCTGTCCCCCACTTCCCAGGGAGGGGTCAGCCTGTGGAGTCTGCTTCTGATGGCTGATGTTTTGCCAGGCTTGTAATTTCATGTTCGTTCTCACAGCACAAAAAATGTAGTTGCGCAGTCCCTCCCACATGGCCCTCATCATCGCCTACCAGGGCTGACTCGTTTCCTGTTACATGCTTGCTTCAGCACTTCGTTTTCTACCTTTTGCGGCTTTCCCTTTCCAGCCCCAGGAGCAATTCGGTGCTACACTACATTCTCTGGCCACTAACACAAGAGTTCCCCTGGTTTTTGGGTCTTAGAGCTTGGGGTGCTGCATTGGGTTTGGTTTTAAAGTAGGAGAGGTAGCAGCTTTGTAGCACTTCTGGAAACAGGATCATTATCAAGGTGGCAGTGGCTCTGGGGCATGAATTTCAGAGGTTTCTGCATTGTCAAGATTTAGATCTAAAAAAACAAAGCTCTGAGGGATTTTCGCTTGCCTCAGAAGAAATCATGCTGAGAGTTGTACGCCAAGGTCACTCAATTATCCCAGCCCCCTCCGCTCCTTCTCATCACGCGACCTCCTTATAGCCAACAAAGAAATAAAGTAGGGCCACAGATTGATTTTCCCCAAGGAAATCCTCCTGGGAGATAACCTGTGTGAATGTCTGGGCAGAGCCAGGCAGAGTGCCAAGAACAGGGCTGAACCTCACAAAAATCCTCAGAGGTCGGAGGCAGGGCCGGCTGCCCTAACACTAAATTGTACAAGCAGCTTTGGCTTGATGTGGCTTCGAGCAGCGCAGAAACCCAAAAAAGGCTTTCCCCAGGCTGAAACGTTTCAAAAAAAGGGTCAGAGATAAAAGCTGCAGATTAGTACCTCGTTTGGGAGAAAAGACAGGCTATCCTGACCTGAATGTGTGCACAGTTGGTTTGTACACATGGAGTTACTGACCTGCTAGTTTGTAATAAAACAGGTCCCAGCAAAAAAAGATAAATCCCCCCAATGTAAAATCTGCCTTCAAAGTAGGAGATAGGCTGCCTCGTCAGCTGGGGTAATTTGGCTTATCAGATTTATTAACATGCTTGTCAGTAATACACATTTTATCTGATGTTCTGATGCTGTAATTTGTTTGCAGCACAAACAGCTTGTTTAATAAGCTGCTGGGGCCTGGGCAGAGGGAGGAGGTGGGTTTTTAATTGGTGTGTTGGGAAGAGAGTAAGTGCAGAGACTGCATGTCGGTGAGGAGCCATGCACAGCGTCTGACCTGGGCGAACGCTTCGTGTAGCAGCAGCAATCAGGAGCCTTCAGAGCGGCACTCAACACGTGTGGGGATTTTTGTGTTTTCACCAAAGTGCACTGCCTGTGTCTCCAGTGTCAGATCTCTCTGTGTTACAGCAGTGCATGCATTGTACCTGCAGCTGGCCAGCCTGGTATGTCCTCACTGGTCTCTGCTCTCTCCTCACTGATGGCTTTGCCATACTGGGTTGCAGGCTGTCCTGGACCATCTCGCCTCCAGCATGTGTTTCAGGGACAGAAAACCATGGGCAGGGCTCTGCTAGCCCCCTCTCTGCCAACCTTGTCTTCCCCTCCTCCCCATCTGTCACTTCAAACCAAAGTTCAGGAAATACTGCACAAAATGCAGAACATGTGATTTTTGTATTAGTTGTTCTAGGCAGAGAATCACCCACAGATCATGTGTCTTCTCTAGCAGTGTTCATCACAGTCCAACGGGTTTTGTACCTCTCACTCTGAAGAAAAGGGATGTACTGGAATTGTCCTTCCTTCTCACCTACTCACCTTGCTTCTCATCTTCCCATGGCCCCTTGACACATCACATACTCACCTCCCAGTGCCACACTGGCAGTAGATGAGGAAGGCAAAAATTCCAGGGGAATTGGCCACAAAGGAGGTGGCCACAAAGGAGTTTGAAGAGATTCCTTTCCTCCAAAGATGAGCTGTAGGTGGTTGCTACCTCTGGATCTGAGTATGAAGCACCAGGGAATTGGAGCAAGTTTGGCTCAGCTTCTCAGAAAAACACAGCTGATTAAAGAAAAAAAAAAAAGATTGAGTAAAATGTGTGCAACACGTGAACGAGCAAACCCTCATGCTTGGCTGCCTCATGCACCACCAGCCAACATCCAAGCCTTCACGCTGCTGGCCAGCCTGCAGCTATTCATTCAGCTGGCATGGTGTGTGTGCACTATCTCAGCTGCACATATGAGAGAGCAGAGAGACATTAGCCCTCATATTCATGACATGCCTGCATAAGCCCATCTCAAACCATGCCCTGTAGGCCTAGGGAACCTGACCACCAGATATATGCAGCTTGGAGTTTTTCTGGGGATCAACAAGGTGCATATAGCCCCAGGATCTGCTGGTGCCAACCCCACGTGGCTGCTGGTGCTGCTGAAGCAGGACTAGCTTCCAGGACAGAGGCTCAAGTGATGTCAGGCTGCTGCTGCAGAGATCTTGGATGTCACAGTCAAGGCAGTTTTTAAGACAGGATGAAGTTCTGTAAATTTCGAGTCTTGTATAAGATTGGTCCCATGAAGTGTAAGTTAGGCAGACTGAGACCAAAGCCGAGCACCTAAATTTTAGCTCCCACCTGCATATTAACTAATGAAAATACAGAAGAGGCAGACTTTTTTGAAAGTTAATAGACATCCAGAAATCCTCCAGCACCTTTGCAAATCTAACCACTGATGTGTTGATGCTTAACTAGGCTTTAAGTTCCTGACTTCAAGCATTAGGGATTTGAAACTTTGTCTGAGCAACTTCAGTTTTCCCTAGAAAAACATATTTGTTTCTGAGTAATATTCTCACTTAGGATCACTTACAGGTAGAGCAGGAAAAAAATTAGCACACCTTATGTTTTACTTAAGTAAGGAGATGAGAATTGCCATGCTTACTTTGTACTCTGAGTCAAGTCAGGTGGTGGCATATGGCAGAAGATACAGGGTATTGAGCACTGGACGTGATGGCAGAACAGCATCAGCAGTAACGTGTGCCATAACTTCACTCCCTGAGAGTGATTTGTCCACGTTGTTACACTTTCCACACTCCTTCTGAAAGCTAAAGGGAACTTTTATGAGAGGGTGGTGAGAAGTCAAAGTCAGTCTGTTTCCAAATTCAAGAGTGTTTGTCACTAGGGATCAGCAATAAACAATGCAACTCTTTTGCCTGTATGTTAATGCAAGGCACCAGGGAAATGTCTGCACATTTTTTCGTACATGCTACGAGTTAATTATTACCACAAGACTTTTCTTTAAAGTCATACTGAAAATATTTTCCTTAAGAAAACAGTAAATTATTGGAAAGGCAAATAAATCAGTGTTTAAAGGCTTGTTATCTTACCATCCTTACCACAACTGGCTCCTGCAAGCTCTGATGATGGATGAGCACGTTAGAACTGCACGTATTTAAGGCACTACAGGCTTTTCAGTGCCAGGAGCTTAAAGTACACTGTCAAGTTATAAATCACAGGCCAAAGTTGTGCCTTGACATCACTGCACTCCAAGCAACTCGAATGGCAGTATTATTTTTAAGTCCTTGCATGTCTCTAATGAAATATTAGGTTTGTTTTTAATTTACGTTTTTACCATGTTTGCTTGTTTTGCATTTTGCTCAGCTTGAGCAGGGAAACTGGGAGGTACATTTCCAATAAATCTCACTTCTATTCATATGTGCTAACTGTGTTTGACTTGCAAATATCACAGAGAAATGTTAATTTAAAACAGTTTGGGAGAAAGAATGTCTATTATATGGGGCTTATTGCATTTTAAAACTTTTTTTTTCTTTTATAACTTCAAACCTGAATTAAAATGTCTTAGCCTTCTCTTGGGATGTGGGACAAACCCCGCCCTTCCTTGCTAAGTCTTTCCTTCTGCCCTACATGTTCCACCCGCCTGTCTTCTCTGACCATACTCCATGGAGCTGTTTGTTAACACTTGCCAGCAACTCTGTCCACCTGCACGTGTTGCAGAACACAACAGTCACCTGCAAACTGGTAGTTTGACTCTGTCTCTATTCTGATTAAGACTCATTTATTCTTTCATTAGGTGCAAAGTTTCCCATTAAATGGACTGCGCCAGAAGCAGCATTGTATGGAAGATTCACAATAAAGTCGGATGTGTGGTCTTTTGGGATCCTACTGACAGAGCTGGTAACAAAAGGGAGAGTGCCATACCCAGGTAATAAAACTGGGAAAGGAGGGGGAACGAGCCATATGCTTAAATTGGAATGTTTATTTATTTTCACTGGGCTCGAAGGAGGCTGGTTATCATGCATAAGTTCTGTGTATGCTTGGAAATGGTCATGACTCTGAAAGCTGCTGTGTGATAGTCATGATAAAAATGACTAGATGACAGAAAATCCAACATATTAATTTCTAATGTTTTTAATTGTTCTCAATTCAATTAATATGCTTTCTAGACAAAAAATGAAAGCAATGTAAAATGACTGCACTGTGGAACAAATAGCTCTACATAGTATTGCATTCACTTTAAATTACCAACAGTTAAACTCCCAGAGTGGCATTACTCCATGTATTCTGTCAGTCTGCTTCTCTGTAACGTTTGATGACTGCCTGAATGTCTGGTATTACCAAACCTCTTTTTTATAAACCCTTAAATTTCAGTCCTTGCTTCCAAGATGGTTGGAAAGGAAATAAAATAATTCTCTAATGTGCAGGCCGGAGCTCACGGCAGGGTCACAGTGGGGCCAGATTCTCTGTGTGGGGGAACTGGAGGCCCCATGGCTCTTTGTTGAAACCCCGCCAAGTATCCGATGGATTAAGATTTGTAGGAGGGGTGATTGGATCTGCCTATGCAGAAAGAGCTTTTCATCCTGTTGCCCCCCTGAAGACTGTAGGCATTCAGGTGAAGAGGAAAGGCCTGAGGTGAAAGCAGTGCATTACACAGAAAAGAATTTCATCCTTTCATTTTCTTATCAGTACAGATACTAACAACAGGGCATCTAGCTGCATCTTTATTCTTTTTATTAAAAAAAATAAATCTAAATACTCACCAGTATGGCTGTGTGCGCTGCAGCTGATTTAATGGAATAAGTAGTTTCAATTTTCCAATCTGTGCCATGATCAAGCAGTCAGAGCCATACATCAAATTACACAGGAGAAGCATCAAGGTGGAGTTCAGTTTACCCTGTGGTATCTCACACTGCTTCAGAAGGCTGAACTCAGCAAAACTGAACTCCCAGAGTTTTACCAGGATTTTCAGTTTTGCTAGTGCCTAACAGCCAGTAGCTGATATTTGGGAAGAGAATATGGGGACTGGAAGGGTTCTCGTGATCAGCAGTGGATTTTGGCATGATTAACAGAGAGCACTGTGACTGTGACAACAGAATGAGGTAGCAGAAAGCAAGATGACGTGTTTCTGTGGGATGGATGAGTCCCTCTGCCCAGCACTTCCCCATGCAGTTAAAGAACAGTGGGTGTTGCCACCACATGCTGTATCAGTCACTGGCACAAAGGTCTGCTTGCCATGAGGATTACTGACAGTGACGTGGGAGAGCCGTGATTTTCATGGGCTTATTGAGGGTTAAATGCTGACATGGCACAGCGTGCAAAGATCACAGACCTAAAGAAGATGTGTAAGACTTAGCTGATAAAGATGTTGCTCCCAGAGGGTGGGCAATGCTCCTCACTGGGCTGCAGGAAGAGGAAATTCCTGATCCCTACCAGCAGAGTGGGTGCACAGGGGCTCTCGCCAGCCAGGACAGAATTAAGGTTTTTGTTGTTTTTTTTTTTCCCTGAGCTCCACACTGGTGGGGCAGAGATGCCTAGTGACTTGCCTTCTCTTTTATCCCGTGCATGAGCACAGACACACACACAGGAAAAGCACTATGCTGGGCAAAAGTGACCATCTAAGCCCCCTGTCAACTCACAAGTTTGTAACTGAACACAGTGTTGGCCATGGCAGCAGAGGATGTCTGCGCTTCCCACGTGTTCTTTTCCCTCCTGGAAAAAGAAAGAGGCCACTGGGTGTGTGATTAAGTGCTTGCAATATATAACTTCTTGTAGGACCTGTGACAGAAATCTCAGGCATGGTCTGTGTCCTGAAAATATGGACAGTTTTATTATGTGGCAGTTTGAGCACATCAAAGACAACTAGCAGTGTCTCTGCTCTTTCAGCGCTGTCCTCCTCCTTCATCCTTCACTACATAAAGCCCTCACACACTGAAAGTCCTTCCAGCTCGCTCTCCCCCACCCACGCTAGGAAGACATTGAGTAGCTGGAAGCAACTTGTTGCATGTTACATATCACAAAGTCAGCAATTTTCTGCCTTGGTTACGCACTGCCCGAGCTCTACGCCAGAGCCCTTCCCCGCCACCAGGACTCCCACTCTGCTCAGCCAGGAGGCCTTAACCATTCTTATGGTCACCATCACTCCCCTCTCTCAGTTTTACCTAAGGCAGCCTCTATTTAAAATTTGCATTTCCAAAACCTTTAGAGATTTCCATTTGGTTTCACTCCCCAGACCCTAACTGGGAAAGCTTTTATAGGCTGAGGCAACGGTGAAGTGGAACCGGGGCCTTCTCAGAAGGGTTTGCCGTTCCATGTGGGTTGAAAAGAGGTCTCAGACTTCCCAAGGTGAAAAAGACCTTCTGAGCTCCTCAGAAAAGACTTTATTTTCCCTTGACATATAAAGGATCATCCATCTCTCGCTTCATGCTCGGGAGAGGAAAGGCCTTCTGGAAGGATAAAGCTTCGTTAACTCAGATCCCTGTCTGGGGCAGGGAGTGTGGGTCAGAGGCACCCACGGGTCTTTTCCTGCTATTGCAGCATGGCTTGCACGAGCAGGAAAATGGGAATTCAACCACTCTGAAAGGCAAGACTCAGCCTTCTTCAACCAAGCAGACAACCTATAGGTGAGAGAATGAAGTTTGTAGGCACTGCCAACCACTTTGGCACCCAAGGCATGTGGATTTGCAAGCTCTGGAAGGGTCATAGTTGAAACAAAGAGGGTCATGGAGCTGTCACTCTGCTGTAATACCGTTTCTGAAATAGTTATGGGCATGTTGTCTTGATGTTCCTGCTTACAGCTTGTAGCAGGCCGGGGAGAGCAGGGAGAGGCCCTCAGACAAAGGGATTGCTCTCTTGCTTGATGAGATCTTAGTGCCTGGAAAGGTTATTTATAGCACACTCCCCAGTCCTGTGGTGGTAACCATGCCCACAGGGTACTGTAGCTGATGCCTTGGAGAACCAGGCATTGTTTTAGGCTTGTGCAGAAGGAGGGAGAAGCACACGGAGGACAGAAGGAGAAGGCAGGCAGTATATTGGAGGGGAACAGACTGTGTGGAAAAGGACTTGGCATTCATTGTCCCCCAGATTTCAACCAGTGCCTGTCCTGATGCCCGATTTTGGAAGACAGGCTGGAGCAGTGGTGGGACATGTGAGCAGTAAAGATTTTGCTGGCAGAGATGAAGATCTGGCTGGAGTTCATAATCAAGCCTTGCCCCAGACCCTGCAGCTCTCACAAGCAAGACTGACTTTTTGACAGGTGTCCTCATCTTCATCCTTAAACCAAGCCTGTTTCTCTGTCAATGGATGTAATGGACCACTGTGATAATTAATTTATTAGTGCTTTTCCTAGCCTGCCCTAATGCTTCCCCATTCTTTTCACAAAGCAACAGATTGAAATAAGCAGCTTTCACAGTCTTTCTGGGCATTGAAGTTCTATTTCCACTATTACAGTTGGGAAATAAAAACTAGATATGGGCAGAAGAGGAGCAAGTTTAAAAAACAGTATGCTTAGCCGACCTTTTTCAGTGTCTGTTTCTTTCCCCTTTCACAAATTCCCCTTGGATCTTAGTTTTGGGGTTTTTTTAATGGAGTTTAAGAGTAGGAGGCTGAATTTCTTTAGCAGTAGTCAGAGAATTTGGAGGGTTTTTTTGCCTTTTGGATAGGCAAAAATTTCAGCTGCACTAAACACGCACTTCTGAACTTGCCCCTTCTGCTTTCTGCTGTGCTTGTCACATCAAGAGAATTTACAGTTTATGTCTAGTGTGACAGCCACCATGATGCGATCCACATTTCTGCCTCCAGCCAGGCAGGTCTTTGAGTTTGGACTCCCAGGAGCTCTGCAGTCCCTGGGGACCTGTGTTCTGCCTCCTCATCCCTGAAGGAAGGTGGGCCACAAGTGCCAGGGAGTGCATGGCACACTGCCCAAGGCTGGAGCTGAGTACACATCAGTGAGCTAGCATATGTGTGTGTGTACCGTGTTCATGGATGGTAGATAAGGTGTTGAGAGAGATGCATACTCAGCACATAGCACAGATAAGCTTAGATGGGTTTCTTTGTAAGCAGAAAAGTTCCTCTCACAAATGCTGTAGCTCAAAGTGGTATCTTTTATACCAAGCAAATAATTTCTTTAAAAAAAAACGCCAAAACACCCCAACAGATATTGATAGCCCAGCTTTGTGGGTGTTTCGAGGATGAGGAGTTGTTGGGGGTTTTCAGGCCTTTATTTCTAAATGAAGTGGCATGACTTCCAGATTTTTAGAAGTTGTTACTACTTTTGCACAGAAATAACTAGGTTCATATTGTACTCAGTAAGAACAGCATTATGCTTCAAAGGTTGTCTTCTTTTAGGAAGCTTGCCTGTTCCCTTCAGTGCACTATTGTGCCTGCATATGGAATAATCTCCCTGCCTAAGCCCCACATCCCATCCCTGTGCCCTCACCTGTGTCTTTTCTTTGAGACTGGCCATGGAAGTTAAGAATTCTTAATTTAAGAATTCTATTTCTAGATCAAGCTGAACAAAACTCAAAAATCAACCTGTCTTCATTGTACTCCCTCCTTTGAGAGCATGCCCTGAGTGCCAACGTGATCCAGCCCCTCTGGAGGACAACACAGTTTTACCTCAACTGTACTAGATCAGGGCCAACATGTCCATGTCTGAGGAACCTTTGAAGATGACCAGAGACAGAACTCTGTGTTCTTGGAGAATCTGAAATGCAGCATTTCTGAGGATGGACAGCAGCTGATCTGTTGTTTTAAGAGTCCTACTTCAAGCATTTGTGTCTGTATTAGTTTGATCATTGGTCTGAAAGTATGCAGTGGGTCTTGAAGGAGCATAACTCTCAGTCCAGCAGAAGAAAGCAAGAATAAAGTGGCTTAAAACCATCACGGTTCTCACTGGACTTCACATTGCCCAAAGTAATCTATACAGCTTATTAGCTTTGGATGTGGGGATGCTGCCTAGTTACAGTTTAATATTTCCTGTCTTCTGGAAGAACAGCATTGCCCAGATCTGTGCTATTTGCACATCTGCTGTCCTCCATCTGATCATGCTCCTCAGATCACTCCAAAGCACTTTCCAGTGTTTTCTTTAACCACAATTAGAAACTTCACATCCTCTTTTATGTCACAGTAACTCTTACTACTGCAGCTTTTCTAGGAAAAGTCAAGCAGCATTGCACTTCTGTCCCTGGCCCATATGGGCACTAGATTTTTATTGTATTGAGCACTAAAGTAGCCATATACTGTGGCGTCCTAAGGTTTTTGGAAGTTTCACTAATAAAGCTGGATGGTAGGAGGTTATTTCAATAATAAATTGATTCCAATAACCTTAGTCACTAATAAAGCTGGATGGTAGGAGGTTATTTCATTTTTGCTCTTTTCAGAGAATAAAAAGCTAATGGAAAGACCATCTTTTGGAAACTGAATGCTTCTTTCTTGGTCCAAATTTTAGTTCTAGAAACATCGTGAGCACAAACTGATTTTCAAGCAGGTGAAATGGCTGTAGTCTACAGAAGAATATTGCTGAGTAGTTTATTCCACAGATTTAAGGATTTTATGATAAGCTTTTAAGGGGTCTAGAAGCATACTGCAAGCAGAATTTCATTTATTATTTACCAAGAGAGTTTAAACTCTCGGGTATTCATTAGGAGAGAGGAGTTGTACAGACTGTTCAAATATTCTCTCTGTGGTGTTAGTAGTGCAGATACAACAGGCTCCTGTCATCAAAAGAGAAATGCTAAAACTTGTAGGATAAGATAAGCAAATGTAGCTAATGTTTGTAAACATAAATAGGTCTTTTAAGAGGTAAAAAGTATACCTGAAACACTCCTATTTTTATAAGTCTGACTAATAATCAAATCAATTTGGAAGAAAAAAGTATTTGAAACTCCCTTTTCAAATTACTTGCACATGTCAAAACCAACAGAATTTCTTTGGCAAGTCCTAGGTGCTGCAGCCCTCGCTGGACGTATGAATTCCAGTAAGAAACATAAGGATTACTTGATTTAGTTTCATATCTGAGTTTTACTGGGAGGGAGGGGAAAGGAGGAAGGAAAAGAAGGGCATTTTCCTGGATTATACTGTGACAAGAAAAAGCTGGCTTCATTTACTTTCCAGGGACAAAAAAATGACTATGATTTCAGGCAGCAATGTCTCTTTTGTGTTCTTTTTTCTATCTTTTTTTTTTTAAAAAAAAAAAGGAAGTGAAGCGCTGTTTATGTTTTTCCTCCCCCCTCTCTCTCCTCAGGGTTTTTCTTCCAGCATACAGTTCGTTATCAAGTTTCAGAGTGTGCTTTGCAGCACTGAGTAATGCACTGAATAAAAATACCAAACATTTGATATCTTAGAATAACAAATCAGTTGGGAAGGAGATTTTCTGCTGCTGTTGCTTCCACCCATGTTGTACTTAAAGGGGTACTGCTCAAATAAAAACAAAGAATGCAGTTTGTTTGTGGTTTAGGTATATACAATAGATGAGTTACTGCTAACATTTATTTTTTCAGCTTTTAATATGTAAAGGAAGCAAAGGACAGAGTAAGTTCTTATCCAAACCATGAGGTAATTCAGCCAATTCAAAGACAAGAGTATGAAAAAAGGTGCAGTTTTTTGTTCAAACATAAATTTTTTAAAAAATAGTATCAAGAACACAAGGTGAGCAAAATGCCTGGGTTTTTTTTGTAGCATCTAGACAACAACAAGGCCAGAAGGTTTGGGCTGGTGCTGCCTTTGGGTTAGTGATGACTAACATTTTTTTAAAAAATAATATCAAGAACAAGGTGAGCAAAATGCCCGTTTTTTTTTTTTGTAGCATCTTGACAACAACAAGGCCAGAAGGTTTGGGTTGGTGCTGCCTTTGGGTTAGTGATGACTAACAGACCACTAGCATTGTTTTGTAATTTAGTAAAAAAAATAGAATATGTTTGAAAATGTTCCTGTTGGATAATGAGGAACGCCCAAAAGTTTGTTCAGTGTGTGGCAAGCTTTTCTGGTTGTTTGTGAGCCTGTGTGACCTAACAACATCAGTTTGCAGTCGATAATACGGGAGAACCTTAACTCTGTGCAAATCTGTTTGTCTGCAGAGGACCATTATTACTCTTAGTTTCATCATTCTGTAGAGTCCTAACCATGGACTACTTTAGGTGCCATACAAAGTGTTTGTTCCTACTTATAAATATTTAACACCAAAAATACAGTGGGTGGCTGCAGGTGATAAATCAAACACAAGAAACCAGTGCTAAAGTGTTGGTCTGCAGGATAGGGAACACTGTAAATCAGTAATCTAACCTTTCTTTTTGCGATTATCACTATTAAAGGGAACAGTAAGGAGGGGTTTGTAGGAGGATGAGGCAGTTTCTGAGGAGGTTCCTCTATGAGCAGCAGGCAGCATAAGTAACAGCACATCAGTGCTTTTTTGAAAATCAAAAGTGCTGCAGCAGGCTGACCAGAACTGTGAATCGACCAGGACACGGCCAAATGACAGACAGTGGGCAGCTAGTGGGGCACTCTGTGAGAGACTTTGAAGACAAGCAGCTTGTATTTCACGTTGTAGCCAGAGAGGAGCAAGTGGCAAGACCATACAAGGGGTGGTTACAACAACAGGCTAGGAAAATTATCTTTGCAGAGGCATTGCAAATGGATACCAGCAGGAGAAAATTACCCTGTCAAGATAAGACGAAAAGCTGTTTTGTAATCCTAACATGAGATGAGAATCTAGATGTGGATGGTCAGGAAAGGCTGTATTTTGCAGACGCTTCCTTCAGAACATCTTTAAGAATTAAACAAAGCCAGGATTTGAGAACACAGACTAAAAACCAAATCCAAGCATACAGCTAAGTTACCAGCCTAAATGCCTTGCAGTGTAAGGTTAATATTCCCACTAGTCAAGGGGTAGAGGAGACAAATAAATCTTTATTGAAGAAGGTGGTTGAATTATTTCTCACAAATAAGTTTACCAAAAATACGGGGTAGAGGGAAAAGAGATGATGATTCCCTAGGTCCTGAAGGTGGGAAAAGAAAGTTCTTCAAAAGGACACCCTGAAAGAACAGAGTGGAGGAGACCCAGGGAAGGATGGTGTTATGGAAGCCAGGGGGAGGATAAGCTAACAGAAAGAGCACCATCAAGGTGCTGGTTTCTAGATTCAGTTGTGGAGGGACTTAAGTGTCCCTCTGAGTTCTCCTGCAGAGCTGCTTGGCAGGTCCCACTAAGTCAGGGGAGTGAAACCCGCAGATCTTTTTCAGCAGAGGACAGGGGCAGGGGAAGCCACAAAGCTTGCGGTCAATGTGCATGCTTTCTCTGAAATACTTCTGCATGCGGGCGGTGCTAGTCTTACTCTTGGTACTGTTAAAAAACTGAAAGAATTACTGGAAGAGCTATTTAAACTAAAGTTCAGGTTGACTGCAATTAATATACAGTGAAAAACACTTCAGCAGAGGAATCAAGGGTTGAAGGGGTTGCATAGAAAAGTCAAGGTAGCAAAGGGCCTGGCTTGCCTCTTAGACACAAGCATGATGGCAATATAACTTTTTATCTTTTGCGAGAGAGAGCTGTGGTTCTGGAGTAGAGCTGTTTTGCTTGGTGGTTGACTTGTCTTCTCAGCAACTTTGTTAACTGTTGGGTTGGAGTGGAACAGTGAAATATGGTAGAAACAATGCTAACTAGCACAGATGGAGGGAGTGCAGATTGCCAGCGGTAGTCTGAACTGAAGTGTTGAAGGTAATGCCGCTGGACATCCCTGGTAGCCCAAAGCAGCAGTTTGTCTTGAAGTTCCTGCAGCGCAACCTCCTCACAGAGCACATCAAGAAAGGCCCATGTTCAGTGTGAGGGTTTCAAAAATTCATCTTAATTTCTAGAATTTTGAATAGTTGGTTTTTTTTCTTTAACAACTTCACATATTTCATGGGTACTGTTGTTGGGGCAGGAACATGCCAAATCCTGCCCGTTGTGAGTAGGCCAAGAGGGTAATCATGGGAGCAGCATTTTACTCATAACTGGATCCTAAAACCCTCCACTGAGAAGGAAAGTAATCCAGGTTACCTTGCAGTAGATGAAGAGCTGAAACAGGACGTTGGGGTGGTTTTGTTTCACTTGTCTGAACCAAAATAAATCAGTATGATTGAGAAAACCTTACGTATGGTAGATATATACTCAGGTTAATTTTCCTGTAACTTAACCATGTGGGTTTGTCTGCCCTTTTACAGGCATGAATAACCGTGAAGTCTTGGAGCAAGTAGAACGTGGTTATCGAATGCCATGTCCTCAGGACTGTCCCATCTCCTTGCACGAGCTTATGATCCACTGCTGGAAAAAGGACCCAGAGGAACGTCCAACTTTCGAATATTTGCAGGGTTTCCTTGAAGACTACTTCACTGCAACAGAACCCCAGTACCAGCCCGGCGACAACCTCTAAATCCCTGGTCTCCAGACACTGTCGTGAATTACCAGGTCTTTCTCAGCCCTGCCCCACCTGTCCTTCAGCTTCCAACTCCGTGATCGGCTTCTCCGGAGTGCAGCATCTTCCAGCACCGCTGTGCACAGGAGGGGCTGAAGCTGGGAACTTCCTCAGCTCTTGCCTACGACCACTTGTCCTAATAATCTGAATGTCCTGGATTAAAAGGAGAAAAACACTTGTTTTTTTCTTAATCAAAGACTCCAAAACTGCATTGTATTGATGTTATGTAAACTGCAAAACCTCTGTTCATTGTAAATAGTAACTCAGTGCCAATAACTGATCCTAGTGCTTTCCTTTTTTTAAAACGCGAAACCTATGTGATTTTAACTAGTCTTCTCCTGATCCAACTAAAAGTATTATTTTCCAGAAGTGGCCTCTTTGTCTAAAACATTTTTTTTCATGTTTTAACAAATTAAAAAAAAAAAAAAAATCAGGACAGGTGTTTGGTTTTTTGCTTTTTTATATATAAAATATATATAATATATATACATACCTGTACATACAGTATATGGGTGCTATTGCAGAGGAAACTCATTTGGAATTGAATGGATCCTGCTGCAGCAGTACCCAGAAAGCGATAATTTTACTGCAGACATAAAAACACTGGTGGGATTCTGAAAGCCAGTGATCTAATTTTTGGCTTTTGCCAAGCATGATTTTTTTAAATTGGATTGCACTTTTTGTTTATGATTATGTACCTGTAGATGGTTGTAACTTTGCTCTTTCAGGAATCATGTGCTGTATTTACAGTAATGTTTCCAATGTTTGACAAGTGTGTGATGATTTGTTCTTGAAATTAAAGCAAACATATTTAAAGCAAGAAAACTACACCATCACCGTTTGAACTGGAAAATTGAAACTGCAAGGACTTCTTGTATCAAAACATGTATGTTTCTAAAAGATCTATTAAACAGTGTAACCACATTCAGATGGTCTTAAAATCATACGATTTTAGCCATGTCCACCTGCTAAACCGTTGGTCATGCAACTAGGATTTTTCTGTTTTATGTGTAACATTTTTCCATTGTAAAATAAGTGTGTTAAATGTCCTGTACTGCTAATGAAATTACTTTCTCTGTGTCTGCAAGTTCTCCAGTGGAATTACTATGCACTTCTTTACATTTCATGGAGGATGCACAGAACAAAGTATTACCTTTTCAGTTGTCTGTACCAGCCTTGAATTACTTACGTTTAACCAAAAAGAAACGATTCCTTTCTATTTCTATTGAGTTTTTAATACTGAGTTGCAAATTTTAAAGTCTTAATTACATTTTGTTATGGTTTATTTGCAAGTTTACATTTTAAAACTGTTTAACTTTCTGAATTTAGTAATTAAAAAAAAAAGAGCATTTTACATTTGGATAGTTGTTCTTTTGTTTAAACTGTGGAGTTGAAATAAAAACTTTTCAAGAAGGGGTGTCATGCCATTTGGGGCATCATATTTCATAGAAGTATGCAGACCACTTACCTACAGGACATCATTTCCCAAATTATGAAGTCAATATGTTTTTAAACAGCTGGAGTTCAACTGTAAGGATTGAATTGAACTGTAAGGATTGAAGGTTGAATGCGTAGCTAGTGTCTCATTTCTCTGTCCTACAAGCAGCCTATTCTTTAATAGTTCTGTTGCATTTAACGTGAATACTTCTACAAGTGTTGCAGGAAAATATTTTCTATGTCTTGTATTGCTGTTATTGCTTTAAAGTATCGCAGCTGAATAAGACTTCCTGACAGTTGAAACTTTTTTTTTAATTATATAATGCTCTAGATTGTGAATTAATATTCTGAATATTCACACATTTTCTAAAGAGAACCTTTTTCCCTTCCTGAAAACTAACCCAGTAATGAATTGAGATTCAGAGAACAAATTATCATCATTATTTTAATATTTTCTATACAAAACATTGACTGAAAATCCTCTTGCAAAGGAAGGTTCCACACTTAGCCTTTTTTGAAGTGTGAATTTATATGGCAGTGTTGCTTGTTACCAGATTTCCATGATAAATTGGTTGACGTTTTACATGTAGAGTCTATAAGTAATGTTATGTACCTGATAGATTCAATGTTGCTGTACCTGTAGCTGTGGAGTACTGAAGAGGCCATAATTCTTGTTGGACTTTTAGCTGCCTCTTAGTACTTACAAAGCAAGTCATGGTCCTCTTTTTCCCACAGCTACCCCCCTGCCTTAAAACGTCATCCACTGAACTGAGGACTCCGTAGTAACTCAGCGGGCTGCCGAAGCCAAAATGTCACGTACTCAGCCCAGCAAAGCATGGTCATTCTGACAAGTTCCTCAGCAGCCTTTGCTATGCCACAAACTTAAGTTCAGTTTCCATCTGTAATGCAGAATGAGCCTAAAACATTAGTCTTCTCTATGTTTCTCATTGGAAGTAAGACTCAGGTGGGGCGTTGTTGGGGTTTTATGGCCTTTACTTCTGATTCTTGGGGTTATTGTTGTATCGCATTCAGTCTATGAGTACCACGTTGGTCTCTGCCGCGTCTCTGCCTGCAGCTGGCTTGTGTGCAGACTGGTGCCACTGCTGAGTGGCAAATCCAGACCATCTCTCCTTGGTAGCTCTTCTGCTTCTTTTTCTTAATGTTGGGAGTTTTGTTGTTTGGGTTTTTTAATCTCTCAAATAAAATGATTAGCAAAAAGTTAAACAAGGTTGTTAGCATTTTTGCTATAAATTAATAAAAATCTTTTCTTAAGCACTGTGTATACACCACAGATAGCTGTGTGGTGACTGTAAAAGCTGAATTATCAGATTAAAAATCTCCTGTTCTCTTTAATATTTCCTTTTTTTTTTTTTTTTAATGTAAGGCTAAATAAATCCCATCCAGATACAAACAATTGGCCAAACGCTCCCCCCCACCAGCACACCTGACTCCAAACCGACCCCTGGTGTGGCAGCAAAGTTCCAGAAAAGGCAACCTACGAGCAACTGAAAGGACCCCATGGGGTGACCCAGGCATCTGCAGGCCAAGCTGAATCCAGTACCAATCCCAGGCAAGATGACAGGCAGAAACACAATGCTGCCGAGGAATGGATGGTTAGTATGATTAATGCCTGTTAACATATATCTGTGAAAAGGAAATGACATGAGGCTTGGTGGGTCTTCAAAATCACCCAGAGTTTGTCAAAGGCACTAACATGATATTCTTTGGCTTCTGCAAACAGTATTCAACTTAGTTCTATCTCACGTTCTGGTTTTGATATAATTACCACTGTAGAAAAGCAAAGTAAATACAAAATAGAAAAGCGATTAACTGCTGAAATTACAACAATAATAATAAATGGAAAATCTGTTTGCAGTGTGAGTGTTTGTCCTGAAGCCTCTAGCCTGGAAAGGACTACCTGCAGACCAAGAAGGCAGATTGCTAAATGTATTTGACCTTGCCACATAACTTCAAGGTGAGTGGGAAGTTGCTCAAATTTATTTTAATATGCACCATCCTTTTCTCAAATGCTGCAATAAAAAATGCAGTACACTAATGAATGCTACCACATTGTACTCGAGGGGTTTAAGGGCCTCACATGAAGCTGAGGCGAAACATGCAAGAGCTATTAGGAGATATACAGTAGCTCCTCTTCTAATGTGTGGACAATATTCATTCATCAAAGAAGTCTTTTCCTGTCTAATGGGAAATTACCACCAGCAGTGCAGACAAAAGGATATTTATTTTCTCCAATCGTGTTAGTTTGAGGGTCTGTCTGTCTTTCAAGAATAATTGAAGTCTGTTTGTAGCTCAGAAATCTCATTGTGTTCTGCAGTCTCCGTAAGCAGTGATTATAATTTCCTGTGACTCATACACAGGGAAATTTTATCACTGAAGGAGCTGCTGTCAATTGGGCCAGCATTCCCTGCCATCTTAACTGAAGAAGGGGGCACTTCAATTTCAGATTTTCCTGAACAAACCACACCGGCATCCTTTCAGCAGAAAATGGAAAGAGGCCGCTTGCCAGGATGCCACTGGCACAGGGTGTTAGTCTCTCCCTGTCAGTGCTTCTGAATTTGTCAGGAGAGCTTCTGACAGCTAAAACCGGGTTACTGAGGTTCATTTTGAATGTTCGAGGGGAAATGCTAGCTTCACTTAAGTCTGTGAGATATTTCCTGTTGACTTTTAATACAGCCAGTGTTCTTGTGTATGTGTGTGTATATATATATGATCTCAAAAGGCAATTCACACACAAAAACATCTATACATACAGAAGTGTCAATCCATCTCCTTGTATTCCTCCCCTGCATCTGGATGCTTAACAAAATGTAAGACCCAGGTGGTGAGTAGATTAGAGGACAGAGTGGTGTTAACAACAGAAAAGCTGCTCTTTTCCTTTTTAATTTTTTTCCTGGCTCCCACTATGTGATCAGTTATAATCCCCATTCCCAGGCCAGGAGAGGGGTGGTAGCAGCAAGCGCTGCTGCCACAGCCCAGTAATGCTGTGGCTCTCTGGCTACTGCAAAGAGCAACCTGCAGCTATGATTTCAAAGTCAGGGAGAGAAAACATTTCTCCCAAGGGCATGGCTGCAGTTTGGGGCCTGTGGTGTGACTATGCAGGCTGGCCAAAAGTGGAGAAGAGTGTCCTCCCAGGAAAAGGAGGTCATTAGCTGATAGGCTGTGCATCACGTCGTGTGGAGGGAGATCCAAAGGTTGCAGCACCAGCTGTGCCTGCAGCGCCTGTGTGTTTCTCTGTGCCCAGCCATTTAGGTGATCAGATTAGAGCAGGCCAGTGCCTGAAACTGCAGTTTCCGTTATCAAGTGTAACAATTTTCCTTATTATGGGTGGGGGTAAATTGTGTGTATTCAAGACGGGCAAAAAAAAAATTCCCAGGACTGGTGTTGCCTGTGACTGGAGGGCAAGTGTTGCATCTGCCTGACCAGGCCAGATGGGAGTTTGATTGTTTGGCTCTTAGTTGGGAATAACTCATCATTAGTCTCTGTGGATAGCTAAAAGGGCAAAGAGCAAAGAAATGAGATCATCTTCTTCCTCTGTGGCTGGGCTACAGCTTGCAGAGGGCTCTGGTTTGCTTTTTTGTGCATCAGCATTTGTTGCCAAGCCCCCACACCCACAGTTTTGTGAAGTTAACTCAGCTACTTATTGTCACAGCTTCACACGAAATCCCTGAGGCCTGTAAACATCTGGAAAAAGAAAAAAGGATGCAGGGAAGCTTTCTGACCATGTTGTAGTTTTACTTGCTGACCCTGGGGCTCGTGCCAGCAGCCTGCCCAAAAGCCCTGGCATCCCCTACACTCTATTCACCGGCACAGTTTAGGCTCTGGGATGTCTTCCAACCCTGCTACGCTACTGGATTTTCCCAGTTAGCCATTCCTTCTTGTACAGGAAGGGTCCCTGGTGCTGGGAAAGGTATGTGTGGCCCAAGCACACCTCTCCTGGCACTGCACGGAGCCAGGGCTGTCTCTGCTGCTGGGCCAGGCTCCCGGAGGGAAGCAGCGATGCAGAAGGAGCCTGCAGCTTCCCTGGAGGCCCCTTTGGCTCCTGGAGCCACTGTGCTCCTGGCCATCGACAGCAGCTTGGGCATGACTCTGGGTAGCTGCAAATGGGTCTTCGGGTGACTTGGCGGGGACTGTGTTGACACAGCCCACAGTCCCCAGCCCTGGTGATGACAAGGAAGCAGATGCTAACTCCTGCTCTCCTAAAAAAGCAGTGGCCAACAGCCAAATCAGGAACTGCTTTGTATCTTAAAGACAGAGGACTAGGTATGTTTGATCATACGAGAGCTCAAGTGTTCCCTCAAATTCCCATGCCTCCCAAAAGCAGCGCAGCCGCCAGCTGAGCTTTGTGTATGACCTCATATACATCCAGCATATAAAACACATACCGCATACTGAACATTTGCATATGTTACATGTCTTTTGTTCCACTTGGGTGGCCTTCTCCTCCCCTTCCCCCTACCTCTCACCCCATTACTCGCCCACACAGCTCCCCTCACGTTATACTAGACGTGTCATTTCTGAAGGACTTCACATCCTGGTCCTGCAGAGTCGAGGCTCTGTTAATTGTCAAATGTTGAGTGGGTAACGATCAGTGGATGACTAATTGGAACCAAGGGGGAATAAAATAGGTATTACTTAGCTTCTGCTCTTAATTAAGAAGATGCATAATACTGGGGGGAAAATCTTAACAAATGGCAGGAGGGGTTTTGTCATTATGCAAGGTTTAATTAGAAGCATTGCACAAACTAGCATCC